TGTGTGTGTGTGTGTGTGTGTGTGTGTGTGTGTGTGTGTGTGTGTGTGTGTGTGTGTGTGTGTGTGTGTGTGTGTGTGTGTGTGTGTGTGTGCGCGCGCGCGCGCGCGCGCTCTCAGACTACGTTCGGGGTTTGGACAACCGATTGCTACTAGTTAGTTCGTACGGCGCTCGTGGACGCTACGAGCAACCGCCCTCCGCCCCGCTTTCTTTCCGATCCCCCCCGCCTATTTCGCGAATCATTGACGCGTGTACGTACCGACAAGTCGGTTCGTGGACATTGCTACGTAGTTGCCGACGTGCGCCATCCGTGAACATTGCGCTGGCTTACAGCTCGGAAAGGCAGATTACACATTCTCTTATGGGCCTGGCCGCTCTCAGTTTTCTCCGGTCTTCTGATTTTCTAAGATCAGTAGTCGTATGCGCACTAACCCAAACCTTCTCTCTGATTAAACAAATTGAATAAATAATTATCTCATAATTAAAAGCAGAAAAATGGAACAACTTATCCAGAAGTTACTTTTGCCTGACAACGTCACGATATTGCAGGTTTGTAATTTTTTACTCACACACACCACATGTTTGACAAATTGGTCTTTACTATAGAGCTTCTAAATATTCATCTATCCTTTATCTGAGATCGATTTTGACCTGAAAAAACTCGAATCTGTATTATATATTCGGGTAATTCAAATATAATGGTAAAAACTATTATCGACAAGATTCAGGTTATTCAGATTGTAATCCAGATTCAGATTCGTACGTTATATGATTCTTATATTTTAAGAATTTGTTTACTTAATCATCATAATAAGTGACAGTTTTTTTACATGTAATTACGAAAGTGTTTCTCTGATGTTCATAAAATGTGCTAAATATTTTTTATAGAATTTTCTTCAATTTTTTTTCTAAACGGTAGAATATGGATAGATTCAGATTCTATAGAGATTTATATATGTGTATATATGTGTATATATATATATATATATATATATATATATAAACATGTATACATTACAAACATATATACATATAAGTATATATACTATATATTTATATATACTAGATCAGAGCCTTCCAACTCATGCACGGCGTGCGGTTTGTGCCATAAAATTTCTATGCAGTCACGTGATCAGTTGGAAAGCTCTGTACTAAATTTTAAATTCACTATTTTATTGTTCAGATGTTTCAAATAATTGAAGAAAAGTGTCACTATTATTTATAATTATTTATTTACTATATATTCAGATAATCTGATAGGTTTAGATTTGATTTTCAATATTTTATTTCAGGCAACTGCAGAACTTCAACAAGCTCTTAAAGATCCAAATAGTATATCAGAATTATGTCAACTTTTAGTAACATCGACAAATTTAGAGGTATGTTATTTTTGAGAATTAAAACTTTTAGATACTGTATCAAAATTATTTTATGTAAGTTACATGACAAAAATTGAAATACTCCTTTTAAAATTACAATTTAATGCAGCTGAAACAAGTATCTAGGAGTTTTAAAGTCTATTCTTTAGTATCAATAGACATATAACAAAAAGCAATGAATTTAGGTAAGGCAGTATGCAGCTCTCATACTTAGAAGACGTTATGCTAAACAAAACAACTGGAAAATGTTACCTGAATCTATACGTACTGAATTTAAAAAAGGTATTTTACAGGTAAGAGATATTTTTGTGCTTTATATTGTATCTATTTAAGATAGTTTTTTTTCTTATGGAAAAAAAAGTATATTGTTTTACTTTTTTCAGGCTTTAAAAAATGAATCAGAGAAATCTGTTAGAAAAGGTATAGCTCTTTTAATAGGAGTAATAGTTACGCATGAATTATCTACCAACAATTGGCCCGAAGTTATAGACTATATACAACAATCAGTTACTAGTGAAAACTTACACATTATGGAAGTAAGTGAAATATTCAATTAATTCATAAGTTTTCTAAATGTGATATTAAAAGTTTATATATAAGAAGTTTGCTGTTTTTTTTATTTTTAAATTAGCATTTCAAGAACATTTTTTTTTACAGTTTATTAAAATATTTATTTCAGCTAGGTGTTTGTACATTATCAATCATGACGGAGATAAGAACAAATGTCTATGCTTCACATGCCAGATCTTTGACAGTACTTCTTGCTCAAACATTAAATAATTTACAAAATTTAGGACATCCAGTTGCTTATTATGTTTTGGCAACCTTAAAAAATCTTGTTCCTCTAATTCGAGATGATAAAATGGTTAGAACTGTTTTATAAGATTTAATTACACATTTAATATATTGTGAAATATTATTAATATATAAGAGTCAATTTCAGATGGTGAACACTTATTCTACACTCATGCCTCATATAATGACTACTATTCAAGATCTTTCTAAGTCTCAATATGAGGATATGGCTATCAAAAGCTTTGAATTGCTAGATGAACTATGTGAGAATGCAAATGCTGTGATAACGCCTCATGTAAAACAATTAATTAACATGTGCCTTGAGATCACCATTGATAAATCTCTAGATGAAGGCCTCAGAGTTAAGGCAGTTAATTTTATTGGTTGGCTGACAAAACTAAAGAAAAAAACTATTGTGAAGCATAAATTGATACACCCTATCGTTGGTAAGTGACTTTACCATTGAAACTTACAACTTCAATGCATTTGGCAGAAAGAAAACTTAAAGTGCTCTATTTGCAGATGTAATATTTTCACTGATAGCTAGTTCGCCACAAAACGAGAATGAAGACTACATAAATTCAGAAAACAACAATATTTTAACAAATGCTACTCTAACTTTAGATATGCTTGCGTTGCATTTGCCGCCGGAAAAATTACTTCCATACGTGGTACGTTTTGTACACATTGAAAAATATGGCTTCTTGAAATTACAATAACTAGTATAATATTTAAAATTTAATTAACTTATGTTTTTAATAATATATAATGGTTTACATTTTTTTATTCCTTACATTATATTTTACATTTTTTATACTTTAAATATATTGTTGCCAATAATGTTGCAGAACTTAAAAAACTGTTATAGAACTGTATAGAATTCTAAACATATATTCACATTGTTTAAGTTTCGCATGTTGTTGCAATTATTCTCTATTTATTATTATTGCAAATATAAGTTCGAGAAGATTGTTGTAAACTAAAGAGAGGTATTTTATAGATGCAACATATTGAAAGTGGACTTCGAGGCGTAGATGTATATACAAAGAGGGCGGCATACGTATTGATGGCCGTACTAGCGGAAGGTTGTTCGGAATATATACGCGCAAACTGTCTTGAATTTTTCCTACAAGGTATCTGTCAAGGAATTACAGAGTCTTCGGACGTGGTGCGTAATGCCGCACTTTATGCTCTGGGACAGTTTTCTGAACACCTACAGCCGGAGATTTCGCACTACGCGTCTGATTTGTTGCCGGTGTTGTTTGAATATCTCAGTCAAGTGTGTTCGTATATTAAGCAAGAGAAAAAAGAACCGCCTGCAATTAGTCGTATGTTTTACGCACTGGAGCAATTTTGTGAAAATATGAACGACGAAATCCTACCGTATCTCCATGAGTTAATGAGCAGATTGTTAGACATTTTGACAGCGAACACATGCGGATTGACACACGTGACTGAATTAACACTCAGTGCCATAGGTGCCGCCGCAGATGCGGCTAAAGAGAATATGTTACCTTATTTTGAAACAATTGTCAATATTCTTAATGGTTACATCACCGCGGAGGCAACTGAAGACACTATGTGTGTTAAAATTCAAGCAGTTGGTTAGTAAAGAAAATGATTGAAGTTACGTTAAGAATATATAATGATATACTTAAATTTTATACATTTTAGATACTTTCGCTATAATTGCCAGATCGATAGGTAGTCAACACTTTGCGCCATTGGCGGCTACGTCTCTTGATTTTGGAATGAAATTGCTAAAAACATATCCAGATGAAACAGATCTTCGGAAAGCTCTCTATGGATTGTTTGCTTCGATAAGTTCTGTAATGAAAAAAGACATGGCTCCGGTCTTACCTGAAATTGTAGAATATTTACTAGCGAGTATACGAAGTTCAGAAGGAATTGTGGTAAATATTGTATACATATGTAATCACTTTCAAGACAAAGAGAATAAAATTAACATCATGTAATACTTTTGTTGTAGCTACATTGCAAAGATGATGAGACAGTCGCGTTATATAATGGATTTAGCGATGAAGAAGAAGAAGAAGTGGAAGAAGAAAATATTGAACAATCGGACAATGAGGAAGAATATGATGATGAAGAAATTGAAGGATATTCAGTTGAAAATTCTTACATCGAAGAAAAAGAAGAAAGTGTAATAGCTTTGAAAGATATTGCCGAGAATACGGGGTGTGTTTTCTTTTAAATTTAAGACATTGTAATTAGCAACTCTAAATCTAATAAATGTTTTATTTTACAGAGAGGCTTTCTTACCGTATCTTCAAAGATCGTTCGAAGAAATTTTCAAATTGATCAATTATCCTCAAGATGACATACGTAAGGCGAGTATGGAAGCCTTGGTACAGTTTTGTATTAATTTTTCGAAAATTGATAACGAAGAAGGCAGACAATCACTGTTGAAGGCGCTTTCTGTATTTATTCCGAAACTATCTGAGATAATTAGACTAGATGAAGAACCATCTGTTGCAACTTGCGGTTTGGAAGCGTATAGTGAGCTTTTAGACGAAATTAAATCAATTGTTATTATGGGTGAAGGACATAAAGATGCTATAATCAATTGTGTGATTGATGTGTTTGCAGGTATTTACGATTTGCCTTTTTTTATAGTTAATTTTTTTTTAAATAAAAAAGCGTGCACATTAATTGTTTGAATTATGAATGAATATCACAGGCAAGTTAGCATGTCAGGATCAAGATCAAGATGAAGATGATAATACTGACGCGGAACAAGATAAGTATCTACTGGATTACGCGTCAACTGTATTGATTAACATCGGAAGGTTGGTCCCACCGGAAGACTTTGCTATATGCTTTGAGACCATATTGCCAATGCTTCTAAAACGATTGGTATTGTTGCTCACCAACTATTGGTATTATTACTTGCATGTCTCCGAAAAAATTTGTGATTTTTAACGTTGTAAAATAAATACTTTTAGAAAAAAAGCGATGAATGGCAAAGATCTGCCGCAGTTGGTACGATCGCGGAGTGTATGTCCGGATTGAGACATTTGTCGACCGCATTTGTTTCGCGATTGCTACCGATTTTTCTACAAGGTGCGACTCAAGATTCCGATAACGAAGTTCGTAGTAATTGTTTCTTTGCAATTGGAGAACTTGTTCTTTACGCAAAGGAAGCAGTTTTTCCGTATCCTTTTTATTATCTGATATATAGTCTAAAATATATCTATTATGTATATTTTCTCACAAGTTTCTACAATCTCACGTATAAAAATAATCACATCTATCTTTTTGCATTATGTTCCTTAGCGATTATTATATAGACATTATCCACAGATATTGCAAACATTATCTCATGCTATTTCCAAAGAGACGCATGAGACTGCACGCGATAATGTAATCGGAGCACTTGCTCGACTTATTATCACAAACTATTCGAGTTTGCCGCTCGAGCAGATACTTCCAGTTTTTGTTCAACAGTTACCTCTAAATCTCGATTGGAGCGAACATAAAGCTGTTTTTCAGAGCATTCACACGTTGTATCAAGCAGGAGTTAATGTTTTGCAATCCTATATTTCCAGGTTATTGAGAATTGCAATTACCATACTGCACGAAGAAAAATATAATGATGAAGGTAAGTTTGCAACAAACATCAAATGTCTTTTTAGATACATGTAAATACTGTTATTTTTACAATTACTTGTATTTCTTTTGACTCTTGCTTGATAATTTATTTAACACACTTATTTTTTTGGTGAAATTTTACACACTATTAACAGTTTTTTTTAATTGTGAACTTTATGTGTTTACAGAAACAAAAAGACTTATCATAGAATTTATCCAGTGTGCGCAGCGAGATTTTCAGAATGACTGGAATAAAATTTACTCTGAAATGCGTTTGGAAGTTCAACAGCTAGATCAAGATTTTTCAAGACCTCGGTTTGGTAATAATTTAATAACATGAATAAGATTTTGGAATATATAATAAGTGTATATATCTTTCATGCGTTTCCGCGAAAATGCTATTACGTTATACTTAAAATATTGAAAAAGAACAGGACAATATACAGTGTAAAACGTTTGGAAAATATTATTAAAAAACTTCAACAACTACTGTGTGACTTGTGTAGATCGCTGTTCAACTCTTACTGATATTATTGATTATATGCAGTTCTTAAACTCACGACGTAATATGACATGTTCCTTATCTCAGAAACACATTATTTTATTTACGATCATGAATTTAGGAACAACTTGTATATCTAAATTCTTGTTATTTTGTCAATTTCAATAGAGTTTTTAATTTAAAAGTATATCAACTTTTTTTTCTGCAATCAATAATTCACTGTTTCATCTTTAAGCAACACATTACTTTTTGATTTGAATTTGATGTATAAAATTTTAATTTTAAATTGAATTTTACAAACAAAATTTTTATTTTCTTATATATATTAAAATTTCTTAAAAATAAATTAAAAACAATGAGTGAGATTATTATTGAATGACATGACTTTTACTAATTTAAAATAGTTACTCTTTTGTAGAAAATACACAAACTACGAAGTAAGAAAATTTATTAATGATGATAATTAAACACTAAAATTTATCTGTTTTCTTTGTAATTATATATTTTGTCATATTTGTCATTTTTACGATTATATGTGTCATCAACAGTTCATTTCAGCCAATGACTGTTTATTGTACATAGAAACTATGCAAACAGTCATTTTATAAAATTAGTAATATAGTTTTTAGTTGCGAGTTAAAAAGTGATTTTATATAGTTTGCTGTGTGTGTGTGTGACAAACACTTAGTATTAATGCTAGCATTACTTGCATGTAAAGCGTGAAATTAAAATGTTTCCTTCAACCAAAAATGTACTATGTATTAAATATAAGGATAAAAAAGAAGTGTATATAAAAGTAAGAAATAAAAGTGTTATACTACATGCTTTTTATAAATGCGTGCAATTTTTTTGTCTTAAAACTACATTTTATGTATGTGCAATAGCTATGTCCCACGTACTATTTTTATTCTATAGAAATTCACAAACTGTCTATTTGTATAAATAATACATGTTGTTATTATCGACAATATTGACTTGAAACAATTATATATATATATAATGTACTTTTATATTTCTTACATAAATGTTCAATTCTGACAAATCAATAGAGAAAATATTATTTGAATAATATCGTAAAAGTAAACAAATGTATATGTGCATATTTCTATGTTGATATCAATTTGCAACTTGTAGTTCATATCATGCAACTTTGTATTTAACGCATTTTTGAATGCATCAACGCAGCTATGCGACTGCGATAAGATTTCTAATGGGATTCCAGGATCCACTGTATTAGGCAGCTCAGCTGATATCGAACATTGCGCGATACTATCGTTGCTTTATCAAAAGGCAGCAGATAACTCTACGGCCAATCGACTTCTCTCAAAAGGTCCCCATCAAACACTGACACCGCGTTGTGGTCGCAGCTTTTTCGAGTAAACGTGCTTGTTCGAGTTTATGGTTCGCGATTTTCTGGAACGTGTCGTGAAAATTGACGCAACTTGTAGTAATAAACCATTAAAAGTTACCAAATATCGTGAATTCACGTCATATATCCGATTTTATTTTCGTCGCGCATGTATCTATTTATATATATCGTGTGCAGTAATTGTGATTAGATTTTTAATTAGTGCTTGCTCTCTCGTAAATGTAATATTTGACGGTGAGATGGGGGATTTGCGGTTTTCGCGCATGATAAGATTTCGAAATGTCGATATCAGTGTGACAAACGTGCAGTTAAATAAGTCTTGGCCGAGTCATTTGTATCAAATAAACATATGACTGAAGATTGTAACTCATCGTTACAAGACAAAGAATCGTATTCAAGATGTTTTGAAATAAGGTGTGCGTGTGCGCGTACTTGTGTATTTGTGCGAATATTCGAAATTAATAGAATAAAACTGTTACTAGCTTGACAGACGTTAAATAACTGCTTTTTGAATCTTGTCTAGAATCGATACTTCGCGCGGATATATCTCAATACTTAAATAAAGACGGGAACAACACATTTGACAGAGATTTCACAATTATTAAAGAAAGAGCACATTCTCTTATCAATCGTATATGTTTGAAACGCGGTCCGTTCGTTTTATTTTATTAATGCAGTCCCATGCATCGTGCATGTAACAATCTACGTACAAAGATCGGGATTTTTTTTTTTTTAATGTCTATATTTACTAAATCTAAAGTTATATTCGATGTTTTCTATTAGATGCTTATTGTTTGAGGCATACGATTATTGTATTATAAATAATATACAAATATTTTTTCACTTGAAATATTTTATTATGTATAATACACATTCATATATTGCACAAAATGTGTGTAATAATTAGAAGACTGAGTGTGTTTCTGGATTTAAAAAAATATGAGAACATTAATGCCGACCTTTGTTGTAAATATGCATGTGAAACCAATGACGCTGTTAACTTCTAATTAACGTTAGATAATCGAAGTCGGTTTTTATTTTATATATAAAAAATTGCACGATCGTGAAAATTGACATGTAAAAAATTGCCAAACAATATTCACCGATTATCATTTATAACATCTTGGAATACGTTTGGAATAAATGGCGTGACTATCTTGATCTAGTAATTGAGCGTTCTATGTTTGACGTTCTGTTAATGAAACTTCATCTGTTAAACAACAAGTTATCAAATAATCAACACCGTTCCATTTGTCGAATAAAACTTTTTACAATTTTTTCCACCGAAAGTTTTACTCATAATATTGTTCACAAGAGAGAGATTACTTCTTTGAATGGCGGGTTCATATCTCTTCGGCAGATCTGATATGAATAATTATATTAAAAATTTTTCTCTTAGTATCTAATATCTTGAGATATACAGTTTAAATATAATAATCGCGTGCTATATACAGACACGTACGCATACACTTCAACTTCGTGTTTATCGATACATATATATAGTTGGTTTAAAAAAATAATTTGACGCTGCGACTCGCGAGATATATAAAGAGAAAAAAAAGAATTAACTTTTTATTATATCTTTTTCTTATCCACATTTCTCTCTCTCTCTCTTTTTCCCTTCAAAAATAGAACATAAACTTCTTTAAATTTATAGTTTTCTGAAGATATAAGATCGATATGAAATAAATTTTTGAATAATTTAATCATTCTTGCATTTCTCTAAAAGTTTGACAATCAAAGCTCAGTGTGATTTAACTTCTTTGCATTGTTAATTCTATCCGTTTTTAACTGAATCAGACAAAGAGTGCTCGTTAAAAATCTATAGATCGATTTGAGAGACTTGAAGTATATATATTCTAAGTAATAATTTTTTAAAAATCACTATATGACCGCTATATAACCGTGATCGCTATATAACCTTCCGTTACTAAATCGCGGAATTTCGCAGGCGGTGACCGGGGCTCGCAATTCGGGACTCGACTTTCCGCAATTGAATTAGCGGAAGTTGTAAAAAGGTGCCATTGAGCCAGAGACTTCACCGAATCAGGGTCTCAGATAGAGGCGGAAGAAAGCGATAACATGCGTGCCGAGGCGCGATGAGCGGGTTTCGGCCTTGGAGACTTCACCATGACTCGAATTGACAAGGAGCCATGTAGGTGATGTACCCGTGTCGCGCTCGTCGTCACACCTGCCGTGTTCTGCTGCCACGCATTGTGGCGATATCGGCGGTGGAAAGTGGTCTTCTCGTCGGACGAAAGCAGTTCGTTAAGCGAAACGTCTGCGAGTCGCACGCGTTTCTGAATAACGCGCGACCGCGGAGTTAAAAAAATCGCACTTGTATGTGTTATTTACCGAAAAATCGCAAATTAGTTACCTCTTTTCGTCTGTCCGGAAGTGGAGAAGGTGCCGATTAGGTAGGTATGTGAGAAGTTGAAGTCGATGCGATTGGCGAACGGTAATCTACTTATTTGACAGAATTTAGTAACTCGAATAAAATTGATTATCACTTCAAAAATATCGTTTTACTAAAACATTGTTAAATTTTTGCTTTTATTTTAACAAGGAGTTTCTCTTCTCGAGCAAATATCACTTGTCAAGCAACTTCGAAGCCAATTATATAATTGCTAGCCAGTAAAGTTTTAATGTGTGTTATACTCACTTATCGATTTACTAAACACTGATCACGTGCGCGATGCTAATTGAATGCACACACGCGCATATCTTTTAGTTCATTAAACTTTTGCGATAATCATTTGACATAAATCACAATAAAACATCTGCCGAAGCTCGACGTGTACAACTCGGAATGTTTCTCAGTTGAATCATTCTTCGCGCGATAACTGATTAATAACAATTAATAATTTATTCTCCTCCGTTTTGTCTGTGCGACCAAATCAAATGGCTTCATTAAACGTGTCCTTTTTTGTTTGTTGACGTTTGTTCGCTCGTAATCTTCGAAGGTCTCCCGATTTGGACGCAGAAGCGATACGGAAACGCGAACGACAGAGAATTCAATTAATTGGGATCAAAAAAAATTATCGCTGCTTACGTCTGGGTACCGCGCGTGTGATCGCATACAAAAAAAATCGTATACCACCGCATAAAGCTAAGAGTCATTATAAAAAGCGGTAGATAAATTAATATCCACATTCATCTCACACACACTCCAAAAAAACGACCAAGGTCTAAACTCTATTGTTGTCGCTGCTAAGCGCAGTCAATCTCCATAATGAAGTCTCGCCCCGAAATCGCATACATATATACTCTATATTGTAACATACATGACCGAGCATCGTTACGCATCGTTATTTTTATCGAATAAAAGCCGTCGAATTTTGAGAAGCCCTTATTGTAACAGTAATGTATTTTAAAATGTGTTCGGTTCTCTCTGTAATTTCGGTTTCAACCGATCTCCGAACAATTCGGTTCGTGCGTAAGCAAACATAAGTATTTCTCTACGTGACTTATCGTGCAATTATTGTTGAAGATGCTTTACCGGCAATAAAAGACGCGCACAGACCGTGAATGCGCGTCGGAGAAAGTGACGCGCGCGGACAATGAGAACCGTTCGTGGTGACCGGTAAAAAAAAAAAAAAAATATTTCAACCGCAAATGGCATAACTCTCTGAAAACGAAAATGTTTCCTCGACTTTTCTTTGATAGAGTTTCAATTCTCTCGCATCTACTTCGGCTGTACCGTTTTTATTAATTAATTAGGCTTGCTGAATTATCAAACATCAGATATCTATATAGCCTTGTTAGAATATCACAATCAGATCTTACGTAATTTCATTTCTTGAAAGGCGTGTTACATGATGTGTACATGTGTATATGTATATATGTATATATTATGTACATATATATACATACATTATTCATACACAATCAATATATCAATTCATCAAATTCTTTGAATCATTTTTATGTATATATTGTGCAACACAACATACAATCTCTGTAAGTTTTACATTAATGCCAAACTTTTGAAAAATTCATAGAATTTCTTGTACACGGTGTCAATCTTCATTTATAATTCAAAAAGTTACATAGAGATGGCTAATAGTATAAATATATCACACAGAAAGTGCTTTAGAAAAAAGTATTTTCCGAGTAAAAAGGATTGTAAACATTGTACGCGATTTATTTTTAACTCTTAATAGCGTCGGGAAGATAAAACGCTTTGTTTTTAATTTTGCTATTCTACACGCCACCGCGTGTTATCGATCGGCAAAAAAGTATCTCTTCCTAAATTCCTCAATCAACTTTATCTATCTACCGATGCTTTTTATAAAAATGGATTAAAATGTGATTCCCTCCGTTCCCTTCTCCGTGGGTGAGAAACGTAAAAATAGACGCAAGAACGTGTCTTATCGAGGTTTCTTTATACGTTTTGATAACTCAATTGAGACAATATGTCTGAAAAAAGAAAAACGTGTAAGCGAAAACACCATTAAAAGTGTATTTATAGCTGTGTTCAGACAGATTTCATTATCTGGCACATTAATTTCAAAAGCACTCTATATAATTTTAATCGTAAAAGAGCGCCTCAAGAATATCTTGGACGATATTCGGATGTTGAATACATCTATAAATTTGCTCGATATATATAACTCGCCGAAGATCCTAAAATACTTGAGAGCTTTAATAGTAAAATCACAGAATGATTTTATATTTATTTATTTGTTGATTCTAGAAAATAATATATAATAATATATAATATTATTTTTTGTTTATTTATGTGCGTGTGTGTGTATTAGATTACAAATATATGTGTGTCGGTGATTCTTGGGTAAAATCTACGGCAAAATACCAACAAAAAATGTAAAACTCTTGTGGAAAAAATGTTGGCGGGCGGCGGATGTTTCTAACTGAGAACGTGCGTTATTATCGCGGCATTTAATGATATGCTTCTTTTCAAAGTCCGAAGACATTTTTCGTCCTGAAATACACGTTTCATCTGCTACCTGTCCTGCGAGAATAACGTGATTTTTCCACCAACGAAAGAATTAGCCATTCTTTGATCTCTCCTGTTTGTTGTTTCGACGTTGGTTTATTGTTGAGATCTGTACATTGTCATGTGCACCAAGCAGAGTGTGCAAGCATAAAAAAAATCGCGAGTGTGCATTATATTTAATTGGGTGGAAAGAAAGAAGAGAAGAGAGAGGAAGAGAGAAAGAGCGAGAGACGAAGCAGGGAAGACAAGGGGAGTTGTTTCGAGTGGCCCATTTCCCTTATCACGATAAAGCCTCGGCGTTGACTTGGCGTTGACCATCACGGAACTGTCACAGGTAGCGCACAGACGGGGTGATTCACTTTTCGATCGCGATTCATGCGAGTAGTCTTCACGCGGATTTGCCGCCGCGATGAGTACAATAGCCGCGAGATTGCTATCGACGTTGTCGCTGCCATCGTACCGTTTTAGCTGTCATCGAGAATGATCTGAGAACTGACCACCGGTAAAGTAACATCACAGCGCGAGACGAAGATGGACGTGGAAATGGTTACTCGAGCGTCGCTGGGGTCCCTGCAGAAAGTGGACTACGGTCGCATTGTCTCCTCCGATACTCTCGACGAGTGGAGATGGGCTAATTTAAGAGTAAGTAATTGAGTAAGAAGAATTTTATTTTGACGAATTATATATTTTGACGTGCTTTGAAGAACAGTAATTGTATATATTGGGATGTATTTGATACGTTTCTTAGATATTCATTACAATATTTTTTCACTATAAGTCACTATAATATTTTCTCAACATTTGAAATTAAAATATTTCAAAACTTCAAATATACATACACAAATATCAGTAGGCGAAGCTTTGAATTTCTTATTATAATGTATAACAAAAATCAATTCACATATATTATATAAATTATTTGTACATATATTAATGATTATAATTATATTTATACTATCATTTATGTAATGTCTATATGTTTATAATAAGATACAGTACATACGTATGTGCGTCTGTATCTGATAGTTATTACGTAATTTGCGGAATTGATAAGTCTGATCAAAATATTTTTCTTATTGTTGTTTTGCAAAAAAATAATGAGGAAAAAAACAAAAACATTTTAATCTCGAATTAATTTCGAAAACCTACATAATAAGTATAATCATATATCTTTATATCTTCTTGAAAAAATTGAGTTATGTTAAACCATATAACGCAGTCGCAATTATATATCTTTCGCAATCCTACGAGGTATCAAAATCAATTTCTCATTAGTTGAAAAAAAATTGTATAATATACAAAAAATTATATGATATATCGAATTTAATACCACCTTGCAATTAACATTATTTGCGAGTAGGGCAGCAAATTCCGCAAACACGGTTTATCAAGGAAATTCAGCTTACCAGACAACTCATCGTGAAGAAAACAAGATTATAGCAAAATTTTTAACATAAATTCACTATCAGTAGAGAATAGTTCGCTAAGCGGAGTAACAGAGAAGGAAAGAGAATTCTTTGAACGTAAAGCTTATCGATCATCGGATCGGTTTATCTGAATAACCGAAGGATACTTGCCATCATCAACGTGGATTTGCTGAGTGTAAACTCTCCAAGAAACTATGTATAAAGCCGGAAGAAGACTCTTTATCGGTTTTTTCTGATTTGGACTTTTTTTGCTTACCTTTACACGGAAAAATGCAACTCCCTACTTTCCTTCTGTATTGTACGCGATTTAAAGATATTTACCGTGCTATCGGTGTAACACACACACACACACATATATATATATATATATATATACAATATAATATATATACATACATATATATTATATAACATAATATAATATCAGCTGCCTGTGATAAAATTTCTAAAAAAAAAAAATCAATTTAATCGCAACAGCACATGTCCTTCGTTTTAATCCATTCCGACGCCGCTATGAATCTATTTGTCGTATGTAAGTTGTTCGCCATATGTTGCAAACTCATCACTGATACCTGGAATTTTTGCGCTGGTTTTTCAGTTACTCGAATAAAATTAAAACACTTCGAAGCAGTATGAGAAAAGGCAATGTTAAAGATATATCTATATAAAGTTTATATTTTATGAGTTACATAGAAAATAAACATTTTTTTCTATTTAAAATAACAGATATTTCTGGAAACCAAGAAATATATAAAATTAATTCCTGTTTCTGTTGTGTATTATTTTCTCACACAATAAACATTACCTACTATTACATGACATTTAACAGAACGTAATTATTACGTGTAAGAGTCAATCAAAATGTGTCTTAGAATTCGATGAAATAAAAAAAAAAAAGAATGAAAAGGACGAACAATAACCGAAAGACAAACGGCGCAAGTAGCGAGACAGACAAAGGTGGAAATAAACGAAAGGAGAACTGTTGTGCGAATTTGAGATTGAAGATCAATATTCAGTGAGCCAAGAGAGAGAGAGAGAGAGAGAAAGAGAGAAAGAGAGAGAGAGAGAGAGATTCGTCAGGAACTGCGAACAGGCAAAACGCACGCGCGAGACGAAAGCACAGAAGCACATTTCCCATCGGCTGCTGCTGCTGCTGCTGCGACTGCAAGCGGAGGTGTCTTTGAGCGCACCTTGCTGCATTTTAGACGAATGTAATTTTTCGACGAGTGCGGTCGTAATTCGCGAGAAAAGTTGCACTTTAGCTTAGCAAAACGTGGCATAAATTTCGGACTTCCGACTAAATCCTCTGTGAGTACGTCAAGTAGTTGTTCTACCTCCGTAAAACCGTCTGCGTTTTAATGGTACCTGTAACGCACATCGGTGATCAGTCACGAAATAACGATATGTTCTACATAAAAAAAAAAAAAAAAAATGAATAAAATAGCTCTACTTTTTCATCATCAAAAATATATAATATATAAAAAATACAAAAAATATATTTAAAAAAATATAAACGCTTTAAATATATAAAATTTTCCTGGAACTATCTTATTTTTTATCGGACCATATAATTTCGATCGGATTATTTTATTACGAGGTATTGTGTGATATAAGTGAACACATGAATATATTTAACATTTTATTAAATTATTGCAAATATATCGCTATGTATAATCAGTTTTCAATTGTAAGGAAAATTTTTTTTTTTACTCTTTTTTAAGAGAATGTGTTTGAGTGTAAAAAAATTTTTTAACTCAAGTTCATTGTTATTAGATGAATAATTGCATATCTCTCTTGTTTTACGCGTGGGCGTGTGTTCGTTTGTATGCAGATTAATTCGGTAAATTCACCACGCCAATAGTTCGAGGATGCACAAGAGAGATGCTTAATACTATGCATTCTGGAACAGTCGGAATCGCGTTTCCCATGTATGTGTGTACATATATGTGTGCGTATGTGTGTACGCGTGTTTGACGGAAAAGACTTATCGTTTTTACGAGCTTAGATTCATAATTTACGCACGCCACGCGCCAGGCACATGCGATTACCAGATCGTCGACGACCGCCGTGCGAGCTGCTGAAAACCGCAGCAAGCGTCTCGCAAGCTCTAACGGAGAGAAGAGAAAAGAAGAGTTAAAAGAAATCGAAATTCCAATCTCGCAAAATGTTCGGAACATCGAGTGTCAATTTGTAGTGAGTGTTTCTAAATAAAATCGGAATAAAAGTGAACAAAAGTGAGTGTAAAATAATTGTTGCTAATTCACAAATTTGTTAATCTGTCGGTTAGTTAAATGATATTGATCAATCAATTAGTTGTATACAATTTTAATTATAAATTAAATAATTAAAATAAATTTTTGCTATAACGATACAAAAAAAAAACTAAGAAATTGTAATAAGTAGAAAACCTTTTTCTCTCTCGGATTGCAATTTATTAAAAAACAAAATAATACATGACACTTTATCGTATTTTTCTAACTATTTTTAGTGTTGGAAAAAAATCAGTGAAACTGTTTAGAAGATTCACAATTATGTAGGATTCCGCCACAATAAAAGCGCTTTTCTGTGTCTCGAATATCTGGAACATCACAGTTCTATCTGTCGTTAATTCGTTAATTCGCGACTGGGTCAAAATGCGATTACGATCTCACGCGAGATTTTTCACTTTCAGAAACAATTCAAATACAAGAACTTAGAAAAGCTGTACACGATCTATCAAAGGAGGATACAATATGCTTATCTCTCGATTTTCGTCATGCTACAACTGTTGCTCGGATTCGTTTATTGCTTGACTCTGATCAAGTGGGTAAGCTCATTATATTTGTTTATATCGAAAGTTTATTTATATAAGAGAAAGTTATTTATATAACAGTTACGTTTACATTTTTATCTGATTAAAAAAAAAAAAGTGTAAACGCGCGTTCAATGGAATGTATTATAAACTTCATATTTTTATCAGAGATTTAAATTGACGCGTCTGGTGTCAGCATCTTCTCAAATTATACATTTATATAGATTATAGATTTTCTCATTGACGTATACAAATAATTGTTGCTAGTTTTGCGTTACTAATATGACGTGGAAATTTTTCAGGAAGATTTATTGACATGAGTTAAATCAATTGCAAACATCCAATGCAAATTTAAAAAGTTTTTTTTTATGTTTCTATCAGGTCGACATTATGGAATGCCTGCCGGACATTGTAGCTTACTGCATCATAGGTGCCCTGCTATGTCCCGTAATCGCTTTGTCGTTTAGACCGAAGATCATCGCCAAGAACACTTACTTGCCGGTTATGCTGTCCTGGGTGATCGTCGTGCTTCTGATTAGCGGCGATCTGGCGATTCCTTTGTATTATTCCTTTAACAACGAGGGCATTCCGCCGATAAGGTATATTACGCCGATAACTCGACACGAGAGACCGGAAAGCGAGTGAATCAATAATCGTACAAGTCGCGACTGATTATCATCGCTAACCTTGAATTTTAGCTTCAGGGTCTTCCTAGATACGACTATGCAACGAATTATTTATCATAATTATTCCGTGATAATTACGTACTAAAGAGCGTAAATATTTATTTCACTGATAAAAATGTGCGTGTCTTACAGCGCAACATTACTTTGTCAGGAAAGATGCACTGATATTGTTTTTCCGTTGCGCGTAAACAAAACAAATTGTTAATTTATCATTAGTGAGAAATGTTTTACTTAGTAAAATAGTTTGTAGAGAAACGGACAATTTAGAAAATAAATTGTTTTTAACATTTATATATAAAAAGTGTTTTTTTTATGAATAAGAAGATTTGAGATATATGATTTGTTAATTTTACGTATTTTAATACAAGTTTTTAAGAACGAAAACATGTGTTTCAGATTGAGAATATTGTCGATTCTCTTCTCGAGACGCGAGAAGCTAACCGCGCGCTTTCTATAGCGATCCCGACACCGATCGCATCACGCGGTTGCATTTTTTTCTCATTAAGTCCGTGATTCGCTACACGTGACAGCGCGCACGCATTTTAGCTCTTTCAATTTCCATTAATAAGCACACACTCGCGAAGTCATAGTCATTTTGTATACTGCCGTATATGGATATTGCACATAGCGATAGAGCTTTACTCTTTTTGTTTTTAGACCGGCATATGCGACACACGCTCTTCTCGCGTGCTACGTGTTTCTGCCGATCACGAAGAATTCACACGCTTTCATGCTCGGTCTTACAACCACCATGTGCTACCTAGCAATCTTGTCGTTAATCACCTACAGAAACATACCGAGAGAAGATTCTATTACTAAGGTAAATCCTCTCCGCGCGCTAACACTGTAACAGTATAAATTGTTTGACGTAACTCCCACCGCGAGATTTGGCCGAGCAAACAACAGCTAAAAACACGGAAATTCTTTTCCTTTCTTCTTTTCTTCAATTATAGATCATCATGGACGGAATATACTTCGTATGTGTGAACGGTCTAGGTCTCTACTTCAGGTTTATGAACGAGGTCGTTATCAGACGCTCCTTCCTCGATCGTCGAAAATGCGTCGAGTCCACGCTCAGACTCAATTACGAGAAAGATCAAGAAGTAAGGTCCATACACTGTTATATTAATTAAATGTTTGTGCATTGCACCCCAATTTGTCGTTTAAATTTTTTCAAAAGTTCTAAAATATAAAACTCGCAAATTTTAATTTAATTTTTCATTACGTGTGTAATGAAATTTCCGGAAGAGAAATCAAAAAAATGTAAAGATTTGTCAATGTAATTAGTTCAATCTACGGTTGAATCTACATTTTGTCTACAATATCTCTTTAGAGAATTCAAAAGACATCGTCAATATTTGCAGGAGCAATTGACGCGGAGTATATTGCCGCAACACATAGTAGCGAAGATCAAAAAAGATTTCAGGGACATATTTAGGTTTATAGAGGAGCATAAGAAAGGTCCGCCGCCGAAAGGTAGACCGCACAGGTACGAATTTTTTACGACAAGATATACAAAACAATATTTTTCGAGCGCGAACGTTCGATCGTTGTTAGTTATTTTTATTTTTTTTTTTTTTCAGCGACCTGTGCGTGGAGACGCACAACGACGTGAGCATCTTGTACGCGGACGTGGTGAACTTCTCCGGGCTTACCGTAACGTTGCCGATACGGAAGCTCGTGGAAACCCTGAACGATCTGTTCGGCAGCTTCGACGAGGCGTCCGAGAGGCACAATGTGTTAAGAATCAAATTTTTAGGCGATTGTTACTACTGCGTGAGCGGCGTGCCCACACCAAACTCCCAGCACGCCAAAAGCTGCGTTGATCTCGGTAAATGATAGTTTATTTACGCACGTAGCCTCGAGCAAAAAAAAAAAAAAAAAAAGAGAGAAAAGTACGAGCGAATAATAAAAATCTTTTGTGTGGACCGACCGATATGTTTTTCGAATGTATTTTTAAAACTTCGTTCGTATATTTCTAAATTTATACGCGCGCGAAAAGCCACAAGTCTAAAGCACAACTGAGATTTTTTCTGTGTAATAAACTTTTTCAAAATTTTTACCAGCGTTAATCAGTGATGCGCGTTTACGTAATAACAAAAAACTATTTATAAAATTTATTTTGAGATAAGTGCAATTATTTTGTGAAACAACACACACACACACACAGGGCTCGACATGATAAAGATTATCAACGAGGTGAGAGCACGACTGTATCGCGAGAGCGGCGTGGACGTGAACATGAGGATCGGCGTGCATTCGGGCAATATAATATCCGGAATTCTGGGCACCAACAAGTGGCAGTTCGACGTTTGGTCGCGCGACGTGGTAATCGCGAACAAAATGGAGCAAACGGGGAAACCCGGCAAGGTTCACGTGACGCAGCAAACCCTGGATCTACTGAACGTCAGCGATTACAACTGCGTTCCGGTCGAAAGGCTGGACGACGAGATTCTGCGAAAGTACAGAATACGCAGCTACCTTATCACACCGTCTTTACCGGAAACGTCGATACCAACACGGTACGTGTTTCCCAGTTGCGTTGGAAAAACAACTTTTATCTATATACCGCGTTTCACATCAATATCTTATAATTTAAAAGAATCTTCTAATATAGAGTCTCTGATATAAAAAAAAAAAAAAACTTCTACGCCGTTCTTTTCACATTGTTCTCTCATCGGGGAGACGATCTCTCCTTCAAATTTCTGTCGAATATTTCGTATCGTTGACAGATGAACTTTGTTGCAGAACAGCGAGAACCCTTTGAGAGCCTTTACTTCGGACTTGTCGCACCTGTCGTCCGCGACCAACAACAAACATTACGTCAAGTACTACAATGGTCGCTCCAATACCTTGACCACTTCTTCCAAGACAAGATTGACGGCAAACAATCATGTGGACGTTTTTACGAACACTTATAGACGAAGAACGCACTTTATGGATTCCTGCTTGCGCGATTATCATCTGATGTTGAAAGAGGCGGATGCCGAGATGGAGAACGCTATTAATCAGATGCCTCTCAGCAAATGGGAGTAAGCGTTCTTTAGCTTTTTATAAATTCAATTGCAAAATTATTTAATCACGTGTGCTTATTTACATTTGTTTTTCTATGTGTAAAAAAATTGATATTTTTGAATTCTTTCACAATTTCCTTTTTTTTTTTTTCTAGACAATGGTGCAGATGGGAACAGATAAATCCACTGCTTCTGACATTTCGACAATGGAACTGGGAAATTCCATTTCTTCGCGAACCAGATCCCCTCTTCAAGTTTTACATAGGTTGCTCGGTCTTTGTTTTACTCTTCATGGGACTAATGTATCTTGTGCCCACGCTCATGCTCTCTCAGTATGAACATAAGAAAATTCTTCATTTGATATGTATATCTCATTATATCTTGTTAGATTTTTTACAATTTAATAACGTGAAACTTCTTAAACTTTCAGGTGGCATTCAAGTACGATTGTCGGTTACTCGTTGTCAATGATGTTCCTCATAGTTTTAATACCTCTCACGTGGATGCATTTCGCATGGAATCGGTGCAAAGACCCGCACGACGAACACGAAGGACACGTCCCGCATCCGCGGAACAAATTGTTATATTTTTTTTATCAAACAAGTGTAAAGGTACGTATTAATGTATGTTTTATAATTTAATTACAATTTTTCTATCAATTTTAAATTGTTCTCAATTGTGTTTTTGTAATTTAACGTAGGTTGTTTGGAGCGCCCTGCTCAGAGTGATCTTGTATCTGGTGATTACAATAATGCTGGCAGCGTGTGCCATGTTTGACATAATCGTAAGAATTTAGTTTTTTCACTCTAATCTTTTTTAATCGAGTAATTTTACGCATATTTACGTGTTAAAATTATGTTGTTTTATTAAATTGAGTTTCTCTTTTTTTTTTATAAATTGACGTTGTAATTGGCGTTCAAATGGCAATTATTTCTCTTATAACTATAAAATATTTAATTTTTAAATATTTAACATTTACAGTTATAAGAGAAAAATATTTTATAGTATATAGTATATATAATATTTTATAACTGTAAAATATTTCTCTTATAACTATAAATTAAAAAACGTAAACATGCTTTGATATGAAGAACTAAAAACTTAAGATTTACATAGAATATGTAATTTTCAGTTTGAATGTGGAAAAGTAAAGTTGAACGACACGATGTCCAGCGCAACGGAAGACCGCGCCTCCAACATAGAATGCATGATAACACCTTGGGTAAGAATATTTATAGTAGGTACAAACGGTACAAAAAGATTCTTACGTTTCTTGATTAATCGCAACGTTCTTACATTATCAAATCGGTTTTTGCAGCAAATGACGGAAACTTGCTCATTGGCAATCATCACGAGTTTCCTCTTCTTGAGAATACATTACGCGTTGAAATTCATAATAGGCATCTGTGTAGTGGCTTTCTACGCGTGGAACGTTTGGATGCACAGATCTAATATATTTCAGGTATACTTTACAAGAATAATTTTTCTTGTTGCACGAAGTTAAATCGCTCAAAATAACTTAGAATCATCGCGAGAGATATTATAATAACAAACGTCTGTGTGATGAGAAAAATAAAATGTATTTTATCTTGTTCAGTCGAGTGATACGTGGAATCCTCATTTGGACTCAAGATTAGCTCATATATTGTGCGTAGTGTTTCTCACGTTTTCCTTACATCTTATCGATCGTCAGGTGAGTTCTCCGACTGCGTATTGGCACAAATGTTTTTTGTTTGTTTGAAACAAATTCAACTCTTTCTTTATTTTTCGTTTAGGCAGGATACTTAAGCAGACTGGACTATCAATGGAAGCGTCAGCTGACGAAGGAACAAGACGAAGCGTTTCACACGAGAAACGCCAACAAACTTTTACTTCGCAATATCTTACCGGAACATGTTGGTATGTTGATAAACATTTTTATCTATCTATATTTTTATTCGCGATCAATATACCGATTTAATATGTAATTAATACGTATTTGTTGAAATCTAGCGGAATTTTATTTAAATATGAATCGAACTGAAGAAAACGAACCTTATCACGAGGCTCACAATAACGTCGCCGTGATGTTCGCCTCTCTGACGGAACTATCAATCGACGAGAGTAACATCCTGATCGACTTGAACGACATAATCTGCGAATTTGACAAGCTGCTCTTCGAACCTTGCTTCATGTGTAAAATAGAGAAAATAAAAATTGCTGGTGAGTTTTAGCATTTTACAAGATGACGATAAAACTCGATTTTAAAGCGGGTAAAGTTGACGTCTTTTCAAATGTCTCGCAAATCGAGTACTTATCGTAAAATACATATATTTGTGTGTCTAAGTTAAATCATTTATTGATGATATCTAAAGCTTGAAATAAAAAGTGATTTAAAAGTAGAGGTAAATACGCAGATATCGCGCAAGTTGTGATAAATGTCAGATAAACATGTGAGTAAATGTACGATAAAAAGAAATTATTATTTTCTCCATTCACAGGAACAACATACATGGCGGCTTGTGGATTGGAAGCTAGCAGACGCAATTCAATGCACAGCACCGAGAGCGATGAGAATTACAACGACAATGTGGTCAAGGTGATGGCACAATTTGCCGTGCAAATGATGTCTGTGCTTGACAGAATGAACGCGAGGTCCTTCACCACGTCGAAACCTTACAAGTGAGTAATTCCAAACACATAAAAAATCGATAAGCGAACAAGATTGCGAAGACTCTTGACAAATGTTAAAAAAATCCAGAATGATCAGCATAGCTTAAACGACATTGTTTTAAAAAGAATTGTTATCAATTCGACGATTTGTAGATTAAGAATTGGAATTTCTCACGGGGAAGTGACAGCTGGTGTCGTAGGGGCTCAGAAGCCGTTGTACGACATCTGGGGAGATGCTGTAAATATGGCGTCCAGAATGGACACTACTGGAATGCCGGGAAAAATACAAGTAATATAATAATTAATGTTTATCAAGAAAAAATTGTAGAATTGAGTGTGAGATTTCTTTTTGTTTAGAAACTAACGTCACACTCTCTTTCGGATGTTTTAGGTGACAAAAGATACGGCCGCTGTCTTGCAGCAGCAAGGTGTCAAGTGTTATTTACGTGGCGAAACTTACGTGAAACCAAAAGGAAAGGTCACGACGTATTTTGTGGGGGTCGACGAAGATGGAATGCTAGAAAGAGCCGAAGAAGAGAACGAAAGCACTAGTTTATGACGAAAGATAAATAATGATTCAAATTAATTTTAAAGAGTTTCTCGATCAAAAGCTCGTTTAAATACGCAGGGTGTTATCACAAACAGTCGGTTCTCTATTATCATGTGTTTACACGACATATTCTTTTAAATTAGATAACAGTAATTTTAATAAAAAAAAAACAAAAAAAAAACAAAAAAAACAAAATTATATATAATGGAAATTTTTTGAAAGTATTTTTTTTACAAATTTCTTGATGAGTGCTTGTAAAGCGAGCGATAATGAGAAATATAAATTTTATATCGTTCTGCGATATTCCTATACGTATATTCGCGTATTAAAAATATCATTCTATATATTTTTTAGAAAAAAATAAACAATATCACACACACACGATAAATACAGTTTTATCAAAGCAATAAAAGAGAGCCACTATCAAAACAGTTTATAGCAACACGTATATTCGTAATATTTATGTATATTCAAAACTTGTATATTTAACGTCGTATAATAAATTAATTAGTGACGGTTTAAATAGATATAGAAGTTGTGGATAAAAAAAAAAAAAAAAAATATAAAGAAAACGATTTAAAAACGACGCAAGCAACACCTCATGTTTAAGCGGGCATAAGAAAGCGGAGAAACCAAAGAAAGAGCGCGAGACCAAAGAACACGATATAACGCGAAAATAAGCTATAGCGTATAAGAGAATATACCTCAAATGATGTAATGTAGATGATTGTACTCGAGATAACGATGTTATTTCCTCGCGTCCTCCACATACTGTTATCACCGAGTTGCACTACCAATCAAAAATGAAACAAAGATATATATATATATATATATATATATATTATATTATATTATATTATATACATATATCTTGCGCAACTACTGGCAACAATTTTTTTACCACATGCAGAAATATTGCATTACGTATTAAATTGTACAGTATTTGAAAATTGTAATAATTTTCCCACACAATATGATTGCTAAAAATAATGAAGTTATATTACCTCACACATGTGTGTTGTATCTGTAAGATATCTCAGTTTGCTCAAAAACATTGAAAAATATTTTAGAACATCCGATCGCAATTTTAATTAACAATAAGAACACAATTAATTCTGCAAACCGACACAATAGAAAGCCATATAATGCTATTTCTAAGAAAGAAACTATCAAATTTTCGAGAACTGTTCTTACGATTAGTCGTAAAAAATCAGTAACACAGTATATATTAACAACAAATATATATTTCTTGGATATGACTTTCGAAAAAAAAAATAAAATTTCATTTTTTATATATGTCGTATAAAGTTACGTAAAGAGAATTGCGCCCCAATACAAAAAGTATTAGAAAAACTGTTAAGTATAACGTGTTTAAGAGATATTCCAACAATATCTCCTCGTATATCTTAAGGATTTCCCAGTACGACCTAAATTTTATTACTAATCACAAAAATATAAATGTTTACACATCTTACGATTATCTGAAGATCCTTAAGAATATGTTGAGCAGATATCCTTGGAACTATATTTTGCTATGCGTATGAGAAGAGTGATTGAAAAGTCTTCATTCTTTCATATCAGTTTGATCAAAAGCGGATTAATATAGACTAGAAAATACGATGTCGCTGAGATAGGATACAAATTTAATAATTTTTTTATTTTATATATATATATATATATNATATATGTTTTTATCTCTCCTCTCATTTATATATAATAATTAAGAGGATATTAATCGTCAATATTCCATGAATATGCGCTGTAAAATTTTAACATTACATTCTGACCTGATTGTAAAACACATGTCATATTTTTTGCGTATTTTCCTGAATACTGCGATTCGTTATTTTACGATTGTGATCGCATGTCGTAAAATACAAAAGTGGGATTGCAAGAAAAAAAAAACGTGAGAACGCGTTTATTTTTATATCGAATGCAGTAAGAACACCGAAGCAAAGCGATCGTTTATAATTGTTTGTTTGTAAATATCTCTCTTTTGTATATATTTTTTAAATATTATAGATAACTCTAATGTAACTAATATGTGATTGTCCAACAATTTGAATAAAATATTTATTACCGAATATTTACTCGACTTTTATATCAACTCCTCTCTTCGTATCTTGTATGACTTGTTGTACATTCTTCCAAGTCATCAGAAACTTTACTCTATTTAGGACAAAGCTTTCTCATGTTAGTATAAATATAAAGTATACAAGTTGTAACTTTGATGCAGTCGAACTGCACAGGAAAATATTATTTATTTTTTTTTTTACAAGGCTTTTTGCCAATTATAAAGCGTACTATGATTTTAGCATACATATAGAGAGACTGTTAACAGTATCAACTATATGTATAATAATATACAATATATAATTACAATAATAAATTAGATCAACAATATAATTTGTTATAATAAAAGTAAACTTTTTTTTATTAGGCAATGTACAAAAATTTTCGCATACACAGTATGCAGTAATTCGTTTTATATTGCAATATAAAACTCAGTAACATTTAACTAAAATTAAATAATTAAACACTTTGGATCTAATATACACGATAGTTTACCGGGATAATCGAGACGTGCTTATTAATAGAACCGAATCGATTATCTCGTCTCACCACCCCCACCCTAGCTTTTCTGTGCTCTCTTTCTTCCTCGCACTCGTCACGCACATTCCTTCTCTCACTTCTTTTTCTTTTTATCGTCCAAAAAAATTTCACTACTTAAATAAAACCTGATAATTCTTTTGCCATTACATTAGAAGATGATATTACACTTTTAATTTGTTATTCTAAATTTATATATATATGTATACATATATATCGCACGATGTTAATAATTAAGGATGGTCCTAGTTTGTAAAAAAATGCTTCCCCGATTTAGGAGTAAACTGTTTCAGAAGATAAAGTTGGATAGATAAATTTACAGGCTGTTTCAAATATGATCGTATATCAGTAATAATAAATAACTTAAATGAAAGTGTAAAGTGTAAGATATCATTAAGAAACGTTTTACTTTAAAATTTTTTTTCAAATCTCACTCGATTAAATTTTAATTCGTGACAAAACATTAGTTACAAAAATTAGAAACTTGTATAACTATATTGTAATGTTGTAATTATTAATATTATATATATTATATATTTATATATATTAATATATAATATAATAATTATTATGTATATTATATATTATATTATACATAGTACTTATATCATTATGTGTAATATAATATATTACATATAATAATGTGTCAAAAAGTTTTATAAATCAAAGAAAACAAAATAATATATTATTAATAAAAAAACCACTTTTGTTTTAAATATGCACTTTATAAGAAAGGTCCTATTTATTAAATCACCACACTCATCAATATTTTATTATAATTTTTCGCAAATGTGCAGTTGTTTATCATTAATTCATTAAAGAAACTTAAATTAATAACAAAACGTATAAGTTTCATATAATATTTGTAATAACATTTTTATATATGTTAAATAATAATTATTTAAGTTCGCAAACTAGCTGGCTATAACGGCTAATTATGAATGCACTGATTGCCATGTAATTTGTTAATTACACACACACGTATATGTGTGTATATACACAATACATATAACACATAATATAGAAACCAAATAATTATTTGTTAGTATTTTTTTGCTTAATATTGAATAAAAAAAATACTCAGTAATTTATTGAAGTGTCGATTTGCTTTCTCTCTCTCTGTCTCTTTCTCTCTCTCTAAAAAAACAACTAAATGTATAAAAAGTATCACGATACTAAGCCTTTATATCCTCTTTGAGATAGTCTGTATCGTAAACTCCAATAATTTTCAAACATCAAGAAATTTGTGTACTTGCTCGATATATATTGCGTTTTATAAGAATATAAATTCAATAGTTATGTGCAAAAGACCAGTTGAAAGAGATTACACCACCCTATATTTACTAAATTGTAGTAGAATTTTTTTCTCACGCGTACTCCTTATGTTTTTCTGCGTGCGTCAATTTTCATCATGTAAACAACTAGTTTTTGATGATACGTGTAAATAAAAATATTATCAATTATGACAAATTGTGACCTGATTTAATTACCATTACCGCGAAGTAATGGAGGTCGAAGAAAATAAAGCGGATATAAGTAACAAAAAGAAACGATCGATAAATGAAACAAAGGTCGCATCATCTTCGCATTTGTATTACATGTGGAAGAAAATAAAACATACTTTTCATAAAAAATAAATATGTATATATCGCCAGAGGATAGATGCTATATATATGTGACGAGCATTGTATCAACAGTAATTGTAATAATATACTTTTACGGGTTGGAATAATATACGCGTCGGTAAAACGGCATTAAAAAAATACATCGACAACGGGTTTCGTTGATCAACTTGAGAGTGCTGGAGAAAAAGGTCCTCGATAGTATTTTATTAAACAACCAGAGTTCCACGATTTTTTGTTTTGCGTTTGCTACACTTGTTTTCTGTGCGCATTTGCTATCAATGTATATATTGCGACGATTCGCTTGCTTTCGTGACGGTAAATAAACGGTTAATATAAAATATTTAAAAAGATCATTGAACAAAAAATTGATACTACTTGTTATCAATACAGTAATATTAATGTTACTCATCAATAAAGTAATATTAATAAGATTTCAGTAAACAAAAAATCGAACGAGCTATAAATATTCGATAATATCAATGGCAAAAACAGTGAATGGCTACTGAAGCAAGCATATCGTTCCGGCGTGGTTTTATTTGCTTTACAGTTTTTTTTTTTTTCCAGCTATAACCACAGAAAACAGCAATTACAAGAGCACCTTATCAAATAGTAATCTATCTCTTAAATTAATTAACATCTTACACGAAACAACACTTCTGCAGTTCTCGCAACACACAACGAGTTGAAAACGATATTTTCATTCCTCCGTGACAACGATTATTTATTGCCGTTTTTTTTTTTTTTTTGTTACGAAGGAGTACGTAAACTGACCTATTCAAGAGAAACAGTTTATCATCTACACACTTATTCGAAAAGTAGCAATAGGGAAAATGTGTATGTGAAGAGCAGAACGTAAATACTATATTTTATTGGTGTACACTTTAAAAGATTCATTATTAAGATATACGCCTATATTTTTTTTTTTTCCAGTTTTTCTTATAATAAATACCTCAACCGAACATGGTCAGATGCGTTGAGGACAGGGAAAACAAGTAACAATTATTTATTTTGTATTTAAGTGAGGAAGAAAAATAATAGAAGACCGAAAGTGGATTATGGCGATTGAATGAAAAGACAACATTCTTAGTCAAAAATTGAAACCAATATAAATTTTTTAAGTAACATCTCTTTCTGTGATAAACTAAACAAATAAAAGATTTTATTTCTGTATATGCTTTTGAGATAAAATTTTAAGATATCTACATCGGTTTCAATCTCCGCTTAAAAGTGGTTTGTGAAAAATACGATGCTTGTTAGCATCGCCAAACTGGCTCATTTTCTTGAGTCCATTCGTTCGACGAATTTGTCGTTACAACCGTTCTCTGCGTAAACAGACTCTCCTTACACAAAAATCTATATAGGTGGTGGTGGTGATGGTTAATCATTATCGGAGCAACTACGAACTATGCATTGTTTTATTGTACACGATGTTCTATTCACTGATCAAGGGTAAGATATGTGTACAGAAACGCAAGTCGCTCCGATAATATTTATAAGACCTTAAAATATATATATTATATATACGTGCATATATATGTATATATATATACTCTTTCTTCCTTTCTTACTCTCTTTCTCTGTTTCTATATATAATATGTATATATATATATATATATATATATATATAGTTTTTCTTATTTATATATATTTATATAGGAGCGATTTAATAGCATAGAAGTGCACGAAAAACCTTCGCTATGGAAGATCTCACTGTCTGATGCTAATCGCATATTTGTGTGTATTGTTTGTTTGTTTGTTTGTTTGAGTGTGTGTGTGTGTGTGTGTATGTGCGCGCCAAAAAAGTGTTTATTTACAGAATGCGAAGAGCACATATTTTTAGTTGAATTACGACGACAGTATATCGTCAAATCTCTCGTCTTTTATCTACCAGTTGCTGCTTCGTCCTCGACCTCTAAAACCACCGCCGCCCCAAAATTGTCCAATTCCGCGTTTTGAACCTCTTGGTGAAAAATTGCCAGTAGCGGACCCACGCAATGGCCCTCTGTCCATCCACGGACCTCGTAGTGGCGGCGGTGGTCCGCCTCTAAATCCTCTGACTCCTCTGGAAGGAGGAGGAGGTCCACCACGCCAAGGTGGAAAAGGTGCACGTGGCCAGAAGTTTGGTCCATCGGGTTCAAACATCGGAACAAGAGGCGTTTCCATCGTGCTAACCTGAGACGCAGGACCATTTGGACCCGATAAATCGAGATCTGGCGTTTGTGGTCCATTCTGCAGATCTTTGTTTTTGTTGAGGTTCCCTTGTTCGTGATCTTGCTCGTCGAAACTGCCGTTTGCCGATGGTGGTATTCTCTCATTACCTGATATAGTCGTCGACTCGTCCAAGCGTTCGTCTCTCGCGTTCATCTCTTGTCCTCGATTGATCGATTCGTCGTCATGGTCGGTTGCGTTTGTCTTTTCTGCAGGATCAGAATGCTCTGTCGACTCTACGTGTTCTTCATACTCTGAAATGGGAATATATTGATTGTGTTGCACGTCGTCGCTAGCGTTGTTCGCCTTTATTGGAATAATTGTCACTTGACTCGTCGGCGTCTGATCGTCTGTTTCAGTTGAGGATAACGCCCGCTGATCACAATCGGAACCTAGTGGATAATCCTGCTGTTGCTGGTTATGCTCAGAATCGTGCGACGCTCTGCGTTTTTTCGGAGAATTCGCATCTATGTCGGATTTGCGGTCCTGAAAATCCGTCTTGTTAGAGGGCATATTGCTATCTCGATCGAATTCCATATCTTTCTCTTCACGAGAAGAAACGTTGTCAGACGTTTGATTATTAGACATAATCTCTGGAGACGACTGATGATACTGCTGCTGATCTTGCGATCTCGATTTCCGATTGTTTGCTAGATTCCGATGCTTTGTATTGTGATCGTCAGAGTATCTGTCCCGGCGGTTCCTCGAAAATCCACGACCACCACCGCGATTTCGTTCGTTTCTGTGAAAAGATGAACTGTCACGCTGATGCTGATGATCTGTCGATTGCGAATATCTGCGCCCCGACGAATCCGTCAGAAACTCCTGCTTGGGCCGCATACTATGTTCTCTATCGCGATATTCAAAGTCCTGTTGCGACTGATGAAAATCTTGTTGAAATTGATGGAGTTGATGAAAAGGTTCTTGTCGATCTGGTCGAAAGTCTTGCTGAGTCGGTAAGAAGTTTGACAGCGGTGGTCTGTTCTGATGAAAATTCGGCTGATTTGGCAGATGGAAGTCTACCGACTGATTACGATGTGAAAATTCCGACTGCTCTTGGCAAAAGCCACTCTGACCCTGTTGATGTTGAAACTGCTGATGCTGCGGCGGTAACGGTGGTGGTGGCGGAGGTGGTCTCGAATGCATCAAATGTACATCTTGCATAAGTTGACCACCATGTGGACCAGGTATTTGTCCAGCAGGAAGTGAAACCATACGCATATCCATATCAAGATGGGATGATAACGGCGGTCCACTGACACGCATATCGCGATCCTGCGGTCTCACATCGACAAGAACTCTACTTTTCGATTTGTTATCAGTCTCGTCGTCTGACATCTCCATGTCAACGCTTTCAACAATGTCTCCAGATTGTATATGTTGACGTCTAAATTATATAAAAAAATTGTACGAGTAATATATATATATATATTTATATACATATATGTGTAAACAAAAAATTATATTGAGTATTTATTTATAAAAACAACAGCTCACCGATAATCTTGATCACCTGCGGACCATAAATTGTTGTTATTGGGTACAAAAGATCCTGACAAATCAGCATTGCTGTGATTTGCTGGACTACCTGTCAGACTGATCAGATTACGATGATCAACATCGGCTCCTTTCATCAGCCTATATGCTGGTAACTGATTCTCGACATTCATTGGAATGGGCATTACTCTATATATAGGCATTATAATTATTTAGAAATATTTAATAATAAATACTTATTAAAATACTTAAGTAAATTGATTACCGAATAAAAAATAAAAAATAAGAATAAGAAATTAATTGACTAAAATACCTGTGATCCACATCTCCCATGGTACTCAGAGTTTCTTGTGGTTGTGGTTCATTGTATTCCACTGGATCAGCAAAGCTGGTCTTTTCATACATTGGCGGTGATTCAGGAGTCTCAGACAGTAGCTTGTTTTTTGTTCTACTTGACCATGTGGAATCGTTATTAGGATCCCATCTGTCTCTATCGCTGTCTATCCATGATGAACTTTTGTTTTTATCATCGCATTCGTCTGACCACGTAGGATTCATGTTATTTTTTCCGTAATCTGTTGTATATAACATGTGTATTGTATATTTAACACAACACTAGAATCTTGAAGAACATTGTATATACCTTTGTCCTTCCATTTATCTGGATCATTGATGCTCTCACTTCGTGGAGTCCACGTGGGAAATTTTGATGGCAACTTGTTGTAACAATTTTCATCGTCTAGAAACATAGGTGGTAACGGTGGAGGAGGTAAGGGAGTAACTGCGTTGGAGTTAGCAGAACCATCAAATGGACCGGTTATATTACCCTGACTATTTTGACTGGAATATGGGGAATTATGTGGTTCGGCAGACAAATTGCGAACTTGTAACGGAGTACTATGACTCATCTGGCAATTATTTAAACCACTATTGATAGATGGTGTGCCTTGACTATTCATTCTAGAGATAGTAGGCGTTACAGGAAGCTGTCCTAACGTGGGCGAATTTCTATAATCAGGATGTTGTGATGATTCCACTTGACCATCAGAAACATCCAAGCCCAGACCTGGTATTGTACCTGGATCTGGCGCACCGTCAGAAGACGGAAGAACTGTTTTTAAGAAACTAGAAATACTAAAATTGCTGTTTTCATTCTTTGAAGGTCTCATGTTAATAACTTCTATCGGCTTGGGCTAAAAATTTAAATATTTATAAAAACGTTAGTTTTCAACGTACAATTTTGTAAAAAAATATACTTCAGAATTAAATAATTACCTCTAAAGATTCATTATAGTGTTGAGATGTTCTACTGGACGATGATCTTTCATCAAACAAGTTTCTCTATAGAAAACAAATCTGAATGTATTTTAGAGTCTTCTGTGTTTTTTATAAAATATACTTATGCGATTGAATCTTTATCTCACCATATTACTAAAATCAACATTTCCTCCCATAAAAGATGTAAAATTATTGGCAAAGGTAGTTGAGTCATTGCCTTGAGCCATCTCAGGTGCGGGTACGGGTATAGGATCATATTCGGAATATGAAGCATAGAGAGACTGTGCTGTTACGTCAATTATTCCTGATTCATTATTCACTGCTTGTGTTTCTTCGCCTGGCAATTCTAAATCGCTGTCGGGACTTGGCGAGGGTGCGTTTACATCTGGCGATGGTATCGGCGAAACAAAGGTCGGTAATAATTCATCTAACTTTTTCTTCAAATTTTTTACACGACTACCAAAATTCCGATACGCCTGTTTAAAAAAAAATATTACAAATGCATATTGTATCATAAAGAAATGACCAATAATTAATGTTGCACAAAAATCCAACACTTACATTCATCACTATTTTAACTTCTCCACGCTGAGTTTCATAAAACTGATCTGCTTGATCCAACAATTCAACAACTTGATTCCTTTCTTGAATCTCAGCCTCTAACGCACGAACATAATTTTCGACATTTCTCACAACTGTATCGATCTCCTTTTCAGCATCTTCTACACGTCTTCTATCCTTTAATGAAGAGCATAATTCTTCAGCAGATTCTATATCCACATTACTGTCTCGTAAATCACGTAATCTTGCATCGGTTGCTTGTTCCAGAGTTGCACAAGATCTCATTGTAGAAATAAGTAAAGCTGCTTGAAATTCATCTGATTGTAGCGAAGCCGGTTGTGGATCCAATTTCTTTTTTGGAGCGGCTGATATTAAGCCAGACAAATCGGCGAGAAACTCTTCGTCGTAGATTTGTCTCTGCTCCCATATCTTGAAAATTCTCAGTACACGATTTTTTACTTTCTCGTCACGAACCATTGTTGTTGCACGTTGCAAAGTAGTGCTCCATGAATCCACAAATTCAGAACTTTTTCTTTTCGAATATTGAATGACATCATTAGCCAGGTAGAACAATGTAAGTCGATGCTCTACTTTTACTATATACACAGAAAAGACAATGACTTATTAGTTAAATAAATCTCAAAAACTAAAATTATCAAAATTATAATTTTTAACACATATGTACACACATATATATATATATACATACATATAAATTTATAACAAGATTTTTATTTTGACTTTTGCAAACAAATACGTTTGTACACAAAGATGTCACACAAATTTATCTATACAACATATATACCTTTTTTCAAAACTTGTAGCCAAGTGGAAACAATCTTCTTGTGATGTTGCTTCCTTTCTAGACACCAAGCAGAGAGTTGTTGTATGGAGTCTTGAGAATCCTTCAGTGAGTGGAGTTTCTGTTCGAAGAACTCCGCGTCAAATGTGTCGCTTGCCATTGTGAATGTGTTACCAAATAATCATCAGTTAATAGAACCGATATTGTGTATTACATCGTAATGTATATCGTCGCGAGAAATATCGCGCGACAACGTTCCGGTATCACAAGATATACACGCACAGAGTTTCAATCGACCTAACCTAAATCCCGTAGCTATTAAATGAAAAGTAAACACACTTGGGGTTAGATAAACCCGCGTTAGCGCGCAACCGTTTTATCGACTCGGCAACTTTCATGTTCAAAAACTACCACAGTTTAACTGGACATTTGTCAGAATTATTCAACAACACCAACTCCGCGCAAACTTGTATAAAAAAAGCTTCGTTCTGGAGACCCGCGCGTAAAGCGACGGAGATGACGCTAAAACAAACGGCGAGCACCACGCGGTGCAATCGCATTTGCGGTCCGTCACAATCCGTAATTTGTCGCGGATGCGATTATTGCACGTGTGACATGTCAACTTTAACGTTAGATCACTTCAACACCGTGGTTATTGTGTCCGAACAACGTGCTGGGAGCGCGAGCAATCTTGAAAACACTAGTCCGCCATCTTTTCGGTCAGCCAAAACACGACCGCGCAATGGCCGGCATAAATTTAGTGGCGGCAAATTCATTGGCGTAGTCGTTTTGAAAAATTACGCCGTTGTACGATCGGGAGCTGTATAATAAATGATTGCGCATCAGATTTGTTTAGATTACCTATGTGTGCACATATTATATTTTTGTATATTCGAAATAAAAAGTTTTGTACTCGGTATTTTTAGAAAAAAAAAATTACTTAGATCGTAAAATGTTTTTGTTATAAAAAATTACCCATCTATTTTAATATAAAGTCTAAAAATAGAGATAGTTTAGCAAAAACTCCTTGTAAATAAGAGAAAGAAACGAAGTAAAATAATTATGTCACGTTCATGGAGTATGTATGATACTGTATTTATTGTTTTAATATATATCGATGAAACGAAATTACTTGATATGTTCGACATGCAATTAATGAAATAATTTATTATTGAATAATAATTAAAACGTTAAAAACATTTAAAAAAATTATTTATTTAGTTGTAGGATTATGTTGTAGGAAGTCATACATCTATCTGTATTATCGGCAATTTATTATGTTTTGTATACATGTCAATCGCGTTATCGGTGCTGTCAGTAGGTCAATCTTCTCTTACATTTAATTTCTAGTACATTTAATTTCTAGTTGAATTAACTAGAAGTGGTGAAGTAGCGCTTCACGCGCGGTGAAGTGTTTCTTATTCAAAGTGTCCGATCTAGACTATATTTTAGCGTGGACCGCAGCGAAGAGCGGAGAGAAAGTCAAACGTGATTTTATATATATATATATATATATATATAGATAGATATATATGTATAAACTGGAAAAACAGCTGTGTCATTGAAGATAAGTACTGTGGGTTGTAAGATCAACATAATTTCTGTGACGTTTCAATTTTTTATCATAATATATGAACGACTAAAGTCCAACGTGTATGTGTCTCTAGTCTATTATCAGCTTGGTTTCGACAGTCTTGTTAAGTTTAGCGGTGACAGTGTTACGTATCGGTGCATATCGTCACTTATTTTGCTGCCTCTGATTAGTCTGACTTTCGGTTTTCGGCTCGGCAACGTTTTTCTCTATTTATAAAAGCAAAACAATAATTGCGGCAAAATCTTTACGTTCAACGAAATTTTCCGTATCGAAATATATCGATTTTAATTGTCAAAGCCGTCAAGATGGTCCAGAAACCGAAAGTATACGTGGTCGGTGTTGGAATGACGAAGTTCGAGAAACCCGGCCGGAGAGAAGATTTTGATTATCCGGATATGGCGAAAGAGGCAGTGACCAAAGCTTTGCAGGACGCTCGTGCGTCCTATAACGATGTTCAAGCTGTCTGCGTTGGATATGTATATGGCGACTCCACCTGCGGTCAAAGAGCGGTGTATGAGATCGGACTCACCGGATGTCCTATTTACAATGTCAACAACAATTGCTCTACGGGTTCTACTGCTCTCTATCTTGGCAAACAAATTATTGAAAGTGGAAACGCACAGTGTGTCTTGGCTCTTGGTTTTGAAAAAATGGAGCGAGGCTCTTTGATGTCAAAGTACACAGATCGTACAAATCCCATGGGCAAACATGTTGAGCTCATGGCAGAACTTGCAGGTGAGAATTTTAGGATACCGAAATATGAAAGAATAATAACTTTGATGTACTTATTTATTTATTTTTTGTGCAATTTTAGGTATTTCTACCGGTCCCATTGCTGCTCAATTATTTGGCAATGCCGGTCTTGAACATATGAAGAAATATGGCACGAAGCTTGAGCATTTTGCAAAGATTGCATATAAAAACCATTTACATTCCACAAACAATCCTTATTCTCAATTCCAAGAGAAGTACACTTTGGAACAAATTATGAATGCACCAAAAGTACACGGGCCATTGACCAAACTTCAGTGTTGTCCTACTTCTGATGGTGCGGCAGCTGTTATTCTGGCTAATGAAGAATTTGTTCGAAAGAATCACTTGGAAATGCAAGCTGTTGAAATTTTAGCTATGGAAATGACTACTGACTATGCTTCAACATTTAATACTCAGTCATGCATGAACCTTGTTGGGTATGTAAAAATAAGTGAGAACTCACGCCTTTTTTGCATGTTACGTAACCAATTCAATGCTAATTTTTTACGACACTTTGTAGATATGACATGACAAGAAATGCAGCGGAAAAAGTTTTTGCGCAAACTAATTACAGACCTGACGATGTAGATGTGATAGAACTACACGACTGTTTCTCCACAAATGAATTGATAACTTATGAAGCTTTGGGATTGTGTTCTCCTGGTCAGGGCGGCAAGTTGGTGGATTCTGGAAACAATACTTATGGTGGCAAATACGTTGTAAATCCCAGCGGTGGTTTAATTTCGAAGGGACATCCACTGGGAGCTACGGGATTGGCGCAGTGCTCCGAGCTGTGCTGGCAGCTTCGCGGCGAAGCCGGTAAAAGACAGGTGCAAGGTGCGACATTAGCACTGCAGCACAACATAGGTCTAGGTGGTGCGGTTGTCGTGGCTCTATATCGCTTAGGTTTCCCAAAACAAGGAGCGATGAAGAAAAGAGTCAACGTCGCTTCCGATCCGAGTGTGTTCCAAGCAAATGTGCTATTCAAGGTACTGGAGGTCGCAATGGAAGAGGACGAGGAAGGTTTGATCGAAAGAGTGCGCGGTGTTTACGGATTTAAAGTCATAAATGGTCCCGGCGGCGCCGAAGGCTATTGGGTCGTAGACGCCAAAACTGGCAAGGGAAAAGTTGAATATAACGGCAAAACCAAACCCGATGTTACATTTACGATCAGTGATACTGACATTGTCGACTTTATTTCTGGAAAATTAAATCCGCAAAAAGCTTTCTTTCAAGGAAAAGTCAAAATTCAAGGAAACATGGGGCTTGCTATGAAATTACCTGATCTACAAAAACGTGCCGCCAAAAAGATCGAGTTACTTCGCTCAAAATTATAAGATGCCTAAAGTTCAAAAGTTGTTTGTATCACACACACGTACAATTGCAATATAAAAAAAGATTTAATACTGTATAAATAATTTTAAATGGCTTTTAAAGAAGCATGTGTCATTAAAAAATAAAAATTGTATCTTGTTTCATGTAGTCGAGATTCATAGTAACGCTTTTCTGTATTCATGATGTGTAAGCTATTCGTTTTCAACATGTTTGTGAGCGCTTTACACGAAACAAACAGATATCTTTAAAGCTTTAGTTGGAATAAATCAATGATAAAAACATTTACGTAACATGTGTACATATACATATTGAAATAATACAGATTATATATATAGAGTGATTCAGAACAACCCTTTATCCTTGAAAATACATATTTTTGACTAAATTCTAGAACAACTTTTTATTTGACAAAATTTTGTCTGAAGCTTACTTTTTGAATTATTAATAAAAATAGGTGACTTAACACGGAGTTGGATATAAGAAGTAGACAGGAGTGGCGCAACTCACCGTCAGACGCGGGCGATTACGTGTGGTGCCTGACACGATCAGCTGATCGCTACACACTGTTTCTGTATCTGTCTCTTTCTTTCTTTTTCTCTCATTTATTTATTTATTTGTAATTTGTATCACTTAATCCGTGCATCACATAAATCACTGTCAATCACGGTGAGTTGCGCCGCTCCTGCCTACCTCTTGTATCCGACTCGTGGTAAGTCACTTATTTTTATTAATAACTCAAAAAGTAAGCTTCAGACAAAATTTTGTCAAATAAAAAGTTGTCTTGGAATTTAGTCAAGAATATGTATTTTCAAGGATAAAGGGTTGTTCTGAATCACTCTCTGTATATATCATTAATAAAAAGCACAAATTTATCATTTTATACAGTTTATATTACTTGCAAACACGTTTTAATAAACTAAAATATGTGCAGTCTCTGAACAAATATTTTAGACATAAAGTAACTTTTTCATAAGTTCACAGTTAAATGTTATTTCAAAACTTTTAAATGTACTACTGGTTCGTATACTATTATGTAGAGATATAAATCTAATATAAAAAAAAAAATCAAGAGAATAAAATATGAAAATTTTGAAAATCAATTTTTTCACATGTAAAAATGGCTTAGTAAGAAACACTTCTGCTTATTATTTAATTGTGGTAAGCGGTAACAAGACATTCCAAGATCAATTAATTTGAGATGAAAATTAATCGCACGTAATAAGAACGAGTTTTATTAAAATTTTAAGTGTTTATTTTACATCTTACAATTGGATCACATAAATTATACATTTGCTGATAATCTAGTTGTGGTAAGTTATTTTTATCTTTTGCTGTGTTTTTTAACTCGATTTGTTTTTAAATTATCCGTGAATTTACTTAGCAAAGAGTATCTTTTAAAAAACATGTATCATATAAGTAGCATAAATGATGAAATTTGTATTTTTCTATGTGTGTGTGTGTATTTTTTATACATATATATATATATCATTTGTTATTCTATAATTATAATCTATATAAAAATAAGTTTTTAAACGTTATGATATAAAAAGTGAAATTTATTTTTTCAATTATAAGATTAAATGATATTTTTGAAGAAAAGATTTTTGTTAAGCATTAGTTGAACAATTTCCCTATCAAAGATTTGTTGAACTATTGTTCTAATCAAAGATTTAATCGATTTGATCACATTATTATGCGCGAAGACAACAAAAAAGCGCACATTGTGGATAATAAAAAATTATTTGTAATATTTTAATTTGTTAAACACGATACTTTTTTAAAATTGACACTAAACTTAAAATAAGTGCAAAAATAACCGAGTTTTTACTTATTGTAAGTTCAACTTGTGATTGTTGTTATAAAATGTACTATATTTGTTAGAGTAAAATTTCACTTTTTAATAAACATTCCATAATTTTTATTACAGAGGGAATATATAAGGGGCTACAAAGAATAACGTTTTTGTATAAACAGATATAAATTTTATATATGAAGAAAAATATGGATAAAATGTTTAAATATGGTATCTTAATAAAAAATCTATAAAAATAACTTGAGTTTTATGTGTAAATTTTATTTTTGTCACGATATCTTTAAGTAGCGATACAATATTAATTAGTTCTTTTTTTTAAATTTTCTAAGAGAAAAGTAATGGTCTTCCACGATGCATTGATGCAAGCAAGGCTTTTGGATTCCAACTTTTTAAGAATGTTACATGCCTTATGTATCAGAATAACTAAACCAAAGAAAATTCTATATATGTACAATTTTCACACAAGTTTTTGAAGTCGAAAATCGCAGAATCGTGCAATTAACGCAGAAAATAAATAAAGAAAACTTCACAAGACGCTCATATATACAAGCGCAATCTATGAGTGTATTTCGCGCTTCTCTATATTTATAGCTAAAGATAAATATACACTTTGGCGTAGTTCCAATCGCCCGTACATCTCGCACACAGTCAGTTCGGCTACGGGAAAACGGACAAACTCCGTAATAGCGGAGCTGTGTTAGTGCTATTAGTGACGTCGCGCGCGGCAAAGAGATCGTGGGATACGCGGACGAATAAAAAAGTTATGCGAGTAAAAGGATAAAACTTTTTTCCGAGGGTGATCGAGAGATCGCGAGAAAACTGTTCTCTTGCAATGCGAGTGTTGTCCAATTACGTGATTGCGATGCGATTACCGTGTTTATTCAGGATGGAAGAGACGACGAGCAACGCGATGACGAGCGGCCGTTTCTGACCGACCGACCGACCGACCGGCAATAGTCTAGGATAAATTTAATTCACTCCGACCCGCTGCATTTGGGTTAATATCGGTGCCGATCGAGTGAGTAACATCATTGTACAATCGAAGCGACAGCTTGCGTAAGAGATAGATCGCGTTGACGGATCGAAATCGAATAGAGGATGCGATCGAGCGTGACCTCTTCGTTCCTCCCGGTTCGTCTCCCGATTTTGCGTCGATTATAAAAAGTCGGAAAAGGAAAAGATAATGTGGCATTGAAATTTTATAAATAAACCACCGGTGCGCATGGTTCTTTAAGTGCCACTACTTGTTACATGTGTGCGTGTATATGTGTGCGCGAATTGTCAAAAATATGTAGGCGACAAAAATGTTAGTTTTCTGTTCAGTTCCTCCGCTTCTGCAAAATTGCGCAAAGAAAAAACCGATTAAAATTCAACTTTACAATTTTTCGCTTCCACAATTTTCTCAAATTTTTTATTAATTAAATCAATAATTACAAAGATTTATATTTGCATGTAACTTTTATAGTATCACTCTTAGAGACTCAAAAGAAACTCAGATGAAGATAAAGTTAAAAATGGAAAATAAAAACTGATATAAGTTTTTAACGACTTCATTTTTATGCGAATTGGTCGTATTCAAAGGTGAATGTCTAATTATAGCAATTTTGCATCTCTCCTTTTGCGTATAACACGAATTCTTCCCATATTCGTGTTAGTGGACGCTGAGCGACGTAAGAATAAGTAACTGCAATATTCAAGAAAATAACAGACATTTTAGAACTGCGCAACAATGCGGATTAATGTTTTACATAATTTATATATATATAATTTTGTTTAGATTTTTTAATTATTTTTAATTTTATTACGTTTGCAAATAAATAATATTCGAGTAAATAATATTTATTTTGCGATCACGAGTACACACAGATAATAATAAAAAAAAAAAAACTATTGATAAAAGGACTTGCATATACAGGATGCACTCCGCGTATTCATCTAAGAAAGGTGATCCTCTTTGTCCTTTGGGTTTCCACCCACAAGTTCGGTGGCCAACACGTTGCAAACGGTGTTTCAGGTAACTAGAGTTTTTTTTGTAAAAAACCAACTTTAAAATAATGAAAACTTTGCGTCTTTTCAAACGTCTCGAATTGAACAATTACTTTCTCAGGGATTACAAAGAGCATGGCGGAAGGAGAAATAGTCTCGGAGATGTTACGTCTTCGTCTCCCAGTCTTTCTATTGATTCACCGACGCGGTAAGATTTATCGTTGGTATACATCGGACAAAATGTTCATTATTACATAACGCGTATTGTTAGCACATTTATCGAAATCTTATATCTTCTGAAATATATTAAATATGACTCTCTCTGGATAAAATGCGTTACTTTCACGTTCGTTAGCTTTAATAAAAAAAAAAAAAACGTAACTTTAACTTTCTCTCAATGATATAAATGTGTAAACTGAGTTACGTTGTTTGTCAAATAAATTTTAAAGTGATTCCGAGAGTAAAAAGATGTGGTCATCCGTTACGAACTTGGCGAAGGATGAAACCAAGAGTAATTACTCGCAACCGGCGGCGTCGACTGGATGGACATCCCTGATGGATCTTTCCGCCATAGATAAAAATCCAGAAGACACTCAGAAGAAATTAGAAAGTAATAATTTTGGAATATGCTAGCTGTATATTTTAGAAATTAAAATTATTGTAATATATATATATATATTGAATTCTCTCTCTACAATTTGTATATATATAAAATCTTTTACATTTGTTCGACACAGACGTGAGAAAACCGGCGAAGCTTCAGATAAAAAACGTGATAAGTAACACTAACAAAGGAGCTTCGGAAAACGATGTGGAATTCATAATTCAGGTATTCTATTCGTTGCCTAATCCGATAAGAGAGATTGCATGATACGCTTTTTTTCGTTGCAATAAAACACACCCACCACATGTGCCTGTGAACGTTTTTCTTTTTGTGTAAAAGACGACTTGCGGTTTAATCGTATGTAGCAAAGTGGTAGCGTAGCGACATTCAGTGATAAGAGTGTGCAAATGTGTAAGATTCCATTGTGCGCATTCATTTATTACACCGCTCTAGGTAAGGAAATCACGACCAGCACCGCCGAAACAGGTGGTTGAGGGCTGGAGACTGGATAATGTCACGGTAAAGGGAGAAGAATTCGAGAAGGTGAGACGATTCGTCGCTCTCGTTACTTTAAAAACGCACATACATGAAAAATCGTATAGTAACAACAATTTATGCGTCGCCTTATTGTATATTATGCACCATGTTATGCACTTATACACACACATATATACATATGTAAACCATTTTTTTCATATTACCGTAAATTATACTACCAAATTATCCACTAAATATGCATCAACTCGTTTAAATGTTTTGATTAACTCACTCAAATAAAACAAATTACTTGCAAAAACGTAATAATGTCTGCACGTAATTTAAAACAAAATTCTTTTTTTTAAAACATTGAAGTTTTATTGTACAATACATTTATACAATGTACTTATAATCTTCTCGGAACTGACAATGTGTGTTTTATGTATAAAGACAAAAAAAAAACTAGCACTAGTAGGATAAAGTGTCTAAATTATTTTTAATTTATTTAAAACGATTCTTTACGTGTCAGAACCGAGAAGGTTAAAAGCACGATTAAATATATAAATAAATTATCAATCAGTTAATTGCGACACTTAATCCTCGCAGAGTGAGATAGAGAAATTAAAGTCTCAATTAAACGATATGAAAGCGAGATGCGAGAAGGCGGAAAAAGAAAAAAGTGAGATATTGCTGCGTCGATTGGCGACTATGGAGACCATGTCGAACAAAACATCGACAGGCGAAGTGGCAAAATTACAAAAGAAAAATGAAGGTATACTGTGTGTTTTGTAAAATTCATCATTAGAAAACATATCTTGCATATAATATATTATGCAATATATCTTGCTTTTGTTGCAGTACTTACACAAGAGAAGAATTTATTGCTGGCGAAAGTAAAAAGTTTGGAAAAAGAAACGAGTTCTAAGCCGTTAAGAGGAGAAAGAGATAAAGTGTACGACGAATTACGTTCAAAATTGAAGGCAGCCGAGAGCCTTTGCGAAAATTTAATGGACGAAAATGAGGATATGAAGAAGGAAATCAGACAATTAGAAGAAGAGATTTACGAGTTGCAAGATAATTTTAGGTATTACATTTTCTTGTGCAATAAAAACTATCGTCAAATATCTTATTATTAGCATCCCGCTTTTTGTAATTTGTGTTACACGCATGTTATTTGCCAAAGATCTACATGTTGTAAAAATACAAAAAAAAAAAAAAAACAGGTATTATTTTAAATTCAATAACATCAGTATTTATATTTTATATATTTGTATATGCTTCTTCATTAGATAATCATATCTATATAATAAATTGATTTCATACAAAGTATTATACACGTGTGTGACTTTAATTATCATCAGGTAAATAACAGTTATCAAATTTTCGATTATCAGTTCGCCGAAAAATAGCGACTGAAGTTCAAGATTTTTTTACGACGTAATTTCCACTCTTGTAACTAACACGTTTACAATGCTCACGACTGTGAATCATTATACTAATTGCGAAATACGACTCGCCGTATATATTTGTGAGACGTTTTTTTTTTCTGTAAAGTATAATAAATAACTACAGATATTTTTTTTTGTTTTAACATAAATCGTGTTTTTTTGTAAAAGTTGGTATCTCTGTTCCTCTTGATCATCATGTATCACATTTCAATTTGCAAAAGCTATTTCCGAGAGTTTCATTTGAAAATATCTCAACATACGATTTGACGAGAAAATTTCGCGCTACAAGATCGAAACACTTTTATGCGAAAAGTCTACGTGCCAGCAAATGACGCGCGTCTCGAGCAAGAGCATCAAAATCTTTTGCAAAATGAGCTATATGGATTGTTGCAGGACGACGATTTGGAAGGATTTGAGATGTATGTGATCCCCACACGTCCAACTTCCTCGCTTTACGCCGAATACGGAACTGTGTATCTTTGGTAATCAAGCTCACACGTGCAAAATCCATCATGTAATTTTTATCACTTTTTACTTTTGTGGGATCACACGTGTTGTTTTTTTTTGCAAATATTCATATTAAAGAAATCTTTAAGCAAAACAAAAACAAAACCGAGAAAATAATGTTTTACGAATTTACAAAATTTGTGGAATTTTTTAGGAGAGCATCAAGTGGATTATCACACTGCTCTTCCTTTCCAAATTTCCTCTCTGTCAAAAATTCTTTTCCCGTCTTTAAAGGAACAGAGATACTTAAAAGCAGCAATTTGAATGGACACTGTACTGCGGTGTTGTTTATATGAATATAATTTTCACATATATAAGGGACGAACAGGCAGACGAGTACACTCGTTTGCGAAAAAGTTTGGAACAGTCGAACAAAAATTGCCGAATATTATCGTTTAAACTGAGGAAAGTAGAACGCAAAACCGAGGAATTAGAAAACGAACGAACTGATTTGGAGAAAAAATACGAAGAGGTAAATTTAGCATGTATATGATAACATTGATAATCATAAATGTACAAAACGTTTTTGTAAACTTTGCTGTAGTCATATACAATCAAGTCACGCTGTGATTATTGTCTTGTGTGTAAACTTATATTTATTTTAGGCAAGAAAAACAGAAGAGATTCTACAAAAAGTAAGCAGTGCATTCCAGAATAGAACGCAAAAGAAGCCGACAGATGCCACAACAAAAGTGCAATTAAAAAAAATGGTTGATGAAATGGAAAAAGAAATAGGTTTGCGCGCTACCGTAGTTGTTACACATGTTTATAGAAAACTATTTAAAAAAAACATTTTGTACAAATAGATGATTGATATATTCCAGAAGACATATTAAACACATTTACCGGCATTAAAAATGGACACAACGTCAATATACCAGATTTAAAATCGAAAGATAATAAAGATAATAATATGAAGTATGATAAACTTCTAAAAGAACACGAACTGCTCAAGGAAAAACTCGAATCCGCTATGAAAGAACTGGCTAGTGAGAAAGAAAAGAAAAAAGTTCAACCAAGTGTAAAAGCAGATGACACGAAAAATGCTGATTTGCAAAATGGTAGAAGAGATTAAATTTTATCAATGTAAAATAACACACACACACACAAACAAAAAACAAACAAAAACATTTTTAATGAATAATAACTTCTAACTTGTATTGCAGTAAAAAAAAGGTTAGACGAAGCGGTTACTTTACGGGAGGCGGAGAGAAAAGCGTGGGAGAAAGAAAAATTGGCACTTTCGGAAGAAAAGGAAAAACTGAAATCGAAACTTTTATCGTTATCGTCTGAGAAATTGAAAGTTTATAACGAGGTTGTGCAACTGAAAAAAGACCTCGGTAAAACTTTGTTTTTTTTTTTTTTTTAGTTTAATCATAAAAAAATTTTATTTTTAAATAACACTCAAATATTTATAACGTATATCTTTTTAACATAAAGATTATTTATTGTGAGTAATACAATATTTGCGTTGTGATACAGAAACGGCTAAGTCATCGGAGAAGGATACAACAAAGATGGAAACTATAATAAACGACCTGAAAGAAAAACTATCGCAAGAACAGGACAAATGTAAAAGATTACAAGATGATCTGTCATCGTACACCGAAAGAGAATCAAAAATGTCGCAATCGATGACATCTGTGCGTATATTTTTTATTTTTCAGAATCAAATATATTATCTGTTAGGCTTAAATGGAAATTCTATTCGATTTTTCTTTCGATCAAAACAGGTCGAACAGACAAAAGCTAAGCTCGATGCCGAGGTAAAACGTTTGAAGAAGGAACTGGAAAATACAAAATCCACCACATCGGCGAAGATTACGGATCTGACTGCGCAAATTGCGGAGCTCAAACGTGAGAGCGAAAAATTGACGTCGCAACTCGATAGCGAAACAAAAGCTAAGGAAACTGAAATAACGGCACTGAACAAAAAGATAACTTCTTTAGAAAAAGCTGGACAAAATACAAAGCACATAAACGAAATGAAGCAGACGTACAGCGAGAAAATTTCGAGTAAAGTACCAGACACTCTACAAAATTGAATTATTAAAAGACTTCATTGTATTATATATTTTTTTTAAGTTAATTGTGAAAATTGCGTGTATTACACACACGTTGAAATTTTTATAGATTTAGAGAATGAGATTAAGAAGCATCTGCAAGAACACGAGGCTCAAACCGCAAAATATCAAGAAATTGCGAATTCAAAGGTGCAACTTGAAAAGGAAAATGAATCTTTGAATAGGTAAACACAGCAATGCGACACTAACGGTGTGAGGAGTAAGAATTCACTGTTAACAACGTGTATTTCCTGCACTTTTCTTTGTTTAATTTTATGTTTTATCGTAGCAAGTGTTCGGAGCATAAAAAAGAGTTGATAAATATTCAAGCGGAACTCGAGGAGCTGCGCAATTCAATAAGATTAAAAGAAAACGAATGGCGATTAGAAAAATTCGCTCTTGAGGTATGAGATTTATTATGCAATTTTGACTTACGTACTATATATGTATGTTGCACTTGGTTGGAATTTCTTGTTTTCATATATCGATGTTCACATTCGATTGATAATTTTAGAGTCAAATTCGGGACAGCCAGGCACCGAATAAAGTTATCGTATTAGAACTGAATGATGAAATCAATGCGTTAAAGAAAGAAAATGCCACTTTGTTGGAACGAGTGGAAGATATGAAGAAAGTTGTAAGTACAATTTAATTTTTTCCTTAATTTTTAGAAAATATTAAAGAAAATCTTAAAAGTTATAAAATTTTATGCGTCCGCTTCATGAATTTTATGCAGAACGACGATTTGTCGACAAAATTGAAAGACTACGAGGCGGTTTCGAAGATTCATCAAGTGTTAACACCCGATACCACGGCGCTCGAGTCCGAAATTCGGAAATTAAAGAACGCCCTGGCAAACACGGAAAAGGCTAAGAAGGCAGATTTGGCGCAATGTAAAATGCGCTACGAGCACAGAATCACGGCGATCAACGACGAAATCCAAGCGATTCAGAATCAATTATCGCGATACAAACGCGAGCGTGATACTTACAAACACATGCTGGAAGGTGCGCAAAAAACTATTGGCGAACTAAAGTCCACGAGACAAGGTAGACTTTCTAACGCATCCTCCGGCAAGTCAGACGAGGTTTGTTTATAACGTAATATATTACTATTATCACAAAACACATTTCTCTTTCTTTTAACAATATTTCAGTATAAGTTGCTATATACTCATAAAATATTATTTTAAAAAAATATTTAATTTTACTACTTCAGGACGAAGAAACAGCAAGAGCCAATGTGTTGGTACTAGAGAAACAAATTAGTTGTATGGAAGATGAACTTTCCGAGACAAGGCTCGAAGCTTCTAGATTAAAGGCTGAATTGGTTTCCGAAAAATCAGCCAGTCACGTTAAAGTCTCCGAACTGCAATCTCGAATTAATGAGGTAATTAGAAATTAAATGAAATCGATTAGAAATTTCAAAGAAAATTATTTGCATCTTAAATAAATTTTTTTTACGATTGCAGTTGGAGGAGGAACGATTGCTCACGAGCGGTCGGTCAAAAATTCCGGGACTGAAAGTGCGAATGGAATTAGCGTGGCAAAAAGAAAGAGAAGAACATCAGAGATTGTTGCAAGAAACGGCAACGTTAGCGCGAGATTTACGTCAAACGCTATTCGAGGTAATAATTAACAATTGAATGTAGATTAAACGGATTATTTTCAATAATCGATTTTCGTATCTTTTCTATTATTACTCAAAAATACGCCAATTGCTTTGCAGATAGAAAGAGAACGCAGTAAAGAGCGACTTGAAAACAAGAGGAGACAAGATCAGTTGAAGAAAATATTCGACGAAGAGAAAGAAGAAAGTAAAAAGAAATTATCAGAGGTGAGAATTTCTTTATTCGTATGTAATATATATTTTGAAAAGTTTAATTCGTCAAAATAATGTTCATAGCGAGATAATCAATCGATTTCAGTTGCAATGCGATCTGCTCGAGCTGAGAGACGCGCACGCGAAATTACGAACTAGCAACGAGAAGATGAGACGCGAGAAAGAACGGCACGAAAAGGAAAGGCAGGAACTCAAAGAAGTAATAGTGAACAAGTACAAGTTAGAGCAAATCGAACTGCGGAACATTAATATTCTTATGCAACAAGTTCAGGATTTGCTCCAACTATTTCCCGAATTAAACACCGTAGCGGAAAATGGAACGTCCGACGCGTACACGCCAACTCCGCCGAGACGATTAAAGGTATAAAATATATTCATACAATTGAACGTATAACAAATAAAATTGCAAACGCGTTTTAAAAATCATTCAACGCCGTAGGGACCAAAATCGAGAGAATCATCGCCGATGTTGGAAACAAAAAGCGATAGCGTAAAAGGTAGTCGTTCGAAATTGATTAAAAAATTTTATACAATGTGTTACAATTTTCTTATTATTTGCTTATACTTTTTTAAACAGTCGTAATTCCGGCACTTGGAGAACGAACGGAGAAACTAGAGTACACTATTAAAAAATTAATGGATGTGGCAAAAGAACTCAAGGAATCGAAAAGAACGGCGGACGAAGTGAGTGCAACGCGAATGAAGAAATTTGGAAAGAGGTGAGCTCTATTGCAACTCATTCTTTGAATAATTTCTCAGGCAAATTATTAAAAACTTACAAAAAAAAAAAAAATGTTGTTAATTTGTTAGATCGACGTCGGTTGAGAGCGATCCAGGAAAAGGAGTCGTGTTCAATCACACTAAACCGCGTCTAAAGAGAAAGAGTCTATCTTTGGAACAAACAACCGGACGTCAAGAGGTAATTTATATAAATTCTTTCTATGACACACAAAAATTCTCTTTCTACGTACTACCTAATATTTATATATCTCTATTGGTTTTGCAAACAAGTTTAAACTTTTCTATATTGTTATGATTATGTACTAATTTTTTTTTGCACGTAATGCACAGTCTCCAGCAATATGGGGCACAGACAGCAACTTGTCGAGCATGCAATCGTTGGAGGGTTCGGAAGTTAGTTCTCGTGGAAATAGTCGACAAAGAGATTCCAGTGTAGATAGGTAAAAAGCTAACAAAGAGATAATACATAAGTAGTATAATATCAATATGGTTACGAATTATAAACTCAAAATATAATTGTTAAATAAAATATAACAAATATAAGTTTTATAAAATGATTGATTTTTGACAACGATTTTTTACATGCAAAGCCGTTTTTCCGGAGGATCGACGAGAAGCGAAATGTTAGATCGGGAGAAGAAACACGGCAAAGGAATAATTAAAAAATTAACACACAAGCTAACAAAATCGTCCAGCGTCGACGACTCGAACATGACCGACTATTCGCTTCAGGCAAGAGGAAATTTAAAGATTCAAAATTATTCTTTCTATTCGCACAAAACGTTAATTATTAAACTGATCGAATACTTGACAGACATCTGGTTCTGAAACAAGCCTCAACGAAAGCAGCAAGATGGAAAAGAAGAATTTAAAGAAAAAATTAACAGCCATGTTCAAAAGAGGTTCGAGAAGCAGCAGGTGAGCTATTAAAAAAAAGAGAGAAAGCTACACGTGCAATTTAATTATTTAAATAAATGCAAAAAAACTTACTTGTTTTCTCTATTGTTGAATTACGGCTCGGTTTCAGTGTAGATAAAAAGACTGGATCCGGAAATTCCAGCAGACCTGCTTCGAGGAACTCCATGACGTCGGACTAACCGATTCTATGTTTTTGCGCGATCTTGCTGAAAAGACTCACGATTCTTTACAAGACGTCACACACTTTTACCGTATCCCGGAAGATAATGTAACGTTACATTCGAAGACACTGTAAAAAGGCGGACTGCTCAAAAATTCGCACTTAAATACGTATGTAAAAGAGAATATATACAAACGTTGGCGGCAAGAGATTCTCATTCATCACACCACACGAAACTGCGCACATGTGAAATTATGCAGAACGTGCATTGCGGTTAACGCCAAAATATGTTACGTTTAAACATACATTTAAACATATTTTCGCAGAGTAGATTATAATACATATACATGTGTGTATCCCCGCGTACCACACACAATGGATTGACCAAAAACTTTAGATCACGATTTGCATTGTAATATTCACACTCTGAAAGTAGTTTCCCCCCCTCCCTTCTCCTATTTAATGCATTCGCTCACGCATTTTTTTCACAAAAAAAAGCGCACAAAGTCGAAAACAACTCGTGCGTGATCATATGAATGTGTGTAAAAGCATATTACGTGCAATAAACACAACTGTTGAAAAAAATATTGCGTAAAATATGTACAAACTTCATTTTAATGAAAATGAAAATCAATTTATTTGAGTTCCATTACGGTAAAAGCTCGATTTAAGGACAACTTTTATACGAAGGTTTCTTCTTCGCATATTACAAACGAAGTTTCCGATATTCTAGTAGTTACGAGAGAATCGACAGATTTCAATCGAGCTCTTACTGTAAATAAAGATTTTTATAATCATAACTTTTATTCTCATCAAGAGTAAATCAAAAGTGAAAATTCGTGCACTATCAATCTACATATCGTAACTTTGAAAAAAAAAAAAAAAAAAACAAGTGTTTAAATGATATGCGGAATAGATATATACTCTCGATCTCTCGAACGCGTCTTTATGTACACACTTACATTATTTTTTTCACAAGCATTACATTACAATTGCATTAAATATTTTAATTACACGGATTATAAATTCATGTACACGCAATAACGTTTGAATTACAAATTAAGAGATTAATGTTTCGAACGTTTCTCCTTCTTCGACTTTTTTTTGTGTTTCGGACTTTTGCGATCCTTGTGTTTGTGCTTCTTCTTTTCTTTCTTCGACTTCTTCGTTATGTCTCGCTCAACCCATTTTCCACCCAGCCTCGTATCCTCCGTAATCTTCGACACTACAATACTACGGAATATCGGTTTTAGCGACTGATTCGTACCGCCAGGTTCTTCTGTCGTGGTCGCAACGCTGTCCTGTTTCAACAATCTTTCCGGCAGAACCGGACCGTACATATCCGGTGGTATTGCGGTGGTGTTGTCATTGTTTTCACAATTCGTTGCAACATTCTGTGACGAACTGTCGCTTGTTGACAAATTGGTTTCCGAAATCTTGGACGTATTATTTTCATCGTTGACGCGTTTCGGTTGCGTTACCAAACTGTCAAGATCCACCTTTGCAAAGATACCTCGTGGTGGTGACGTGTTTCGCTGCGTATTGATCTCTTTTGGATCTTTAATGCCGATTAAAACCGATTTTAACGTTTCGCTGTCGACTTTTTCTTCCGATTCGCTGTCAGAATCCTCACTGCTGCTCAAAAAAATCGCCTTGAACAAATCCTTCTTCTCTTCCGATTGATCTTTTAACGCACTCTCTGGCTCTTTGGAAGTCGCTTGTTTGTTTTCCGCTTCCTGGTCTCTCTCATTCTTTAATTCGTTATCATCGCCAACATCTTGTACAATATCTTTTGACATTACAGAAGAAGTACTCTGAATGCCCTTTCCAAAAACTTTCTCGTAAGAAACTTCGAATATCCTAAATTTCTCGGAAACAGGTTCGGAGATTTGATAGACGTTAGGAATACCATCAGTGTAAGCATTGGGAATCTCTTTGTTTGTATTTTCTTCCGATTTCTTCGACGTTTGCGGGATTTCTTCGATCTGCGTCTTATCCGTGGCTTTCGTAAACTTGGACGAGTTGCACCAGTCCAGAGAATCGAAGACGGAGAATTTCGCCGATTTCCGTTCCGTCTCGACTGTGGCACAACCGACTTTCGGTTCGGGAATATTAAATCTCTTGCAAACTATACTCGCCGGTTTCCATTCGCTTCGTTTTCGCGTAAGCTTGCCGAACATCTTCAATCTCACCGCTTCTTTCTTATCTTTTTCCGGATCCGCTTTATCCACAGAATCGGCGCTATGTACAAACGTATCTGCCATGTAGTTATTTGACCGTGCGAGTTTCGCCGCTTGTTCAAATTCCGTTCGTTCTTGATCTCTATCCCATTCGGTCATTGAAAGTGGTTGAATGGACTCGAGCTTGTTGCTTTCGTCGTTCTTCAAAAAGGTGAGATACTGCTCAAACCGTTTTTGTTTATCCGGATCAGACAAAAATAATTTATTTGTTTCGCTTTTACTCGACAAATCGTCATTCCTCACCGATTTATCCGTGTCCGATTGCTCAACCGCGGAAACAGATTCTTTGAAACTTTCTAATGTCTTCAAACTACCGCTCTGTTCAGAACCGACGACACCGCCTTTAATAAAGTTTTGCGCATTTAATTTATCCAGCCAAGAGTTGCTCGTCGCCGACTGTTGACTCTGTAATTTTTTTCTTTCTTCAACTTGTTGTTTGCCGTGCAAATTCAACGTTTTCGAAATGATATTTGAAGCAACGGACATAGTTGATGGCGGCTTGTTCGAATGATCGTTGGGATCTTCTAAAATCCGCGCTCTATCCATTGCATTTAATGGTTCCCTTCGTTTGTTAGTTTCCATTGGAGCTGCGATAGGCGGATAGAATCTGCTTTTTCGAACAACATGCATCGGCGTAAAATCTTTCGGCAATTCAGGCGGTTTGAAAACTTTCTTACTCTCTAATCTCTCTTTCGCGCGAACAAAACCTTCCAGGCAATTGGGTTGCGAACTACTCGAACCACCATCCTGAGACCATCTCGTCTTCGTCTTACGCTCGGGACCCAAAGCAAAGTCGTAACGCGACATATCTTCTTTCTCATATATGTTTTCATCATCGGCTTCGAATGCGCCAACTCCGAACGCCTGACCACGAATGGACAATTTCTTGTTTTTATCTTGTATGCAAAATGCCGGAGTGTCAAATAAATTAATATGACTGGAAAGAATTTTTCGTCTATCTAAACCCGAATAGCCGATACCAAAATAATTGTCTTTTGGTTTGCAAGTAAACGGTTCGTAGTCATCAGGTGCAAAAGTAATATTGGTAGAATCATCATCCGAGTCTTCAGAATTGCTTGCCATCACTTCAGAATTCTCTTGCGCCAGTTTTAATTTTTCATTGCGTTGTCTTATCTTACGCTTTTCTTTCTTTGTGAGTCTAGAACCTACACCCTGGCCAGGTTTCCAACCCATCTTTTTGAGTAAAACAATACCAATGGTTTCTCTGCAATTATAAACAAGAGAGAAGATTGAGTATAGCTTTTAAATATTAATTTAAATTTATTAATTTTTACTAAATTTTTATTTAAACCATTTATTTAAATTTTATTGAATATAGCTTCAAATTTTTATTCAGTTACAAGAAATATGTTAATTAAAGCTTGAAAAATTAAAAAAGTGACTAAAAATTTAATTATCATATAATTTTACTATTTTAATTTTAACATTATTTTACAAATACTAACTTGACAGGTTTTAGAAGTTCTTTTAGAACAGGAGTACCAGGAATAGGACCGTTATTATCTTGACTTATTCTCTCTCTCTTCTTTCCTCTCTCTTCATGATCAGCATAATCACTAGTAGCTCGAATTCCTTTAGGAGCAATTCCAAAGAGACTTGTATCTTCTTCATCCATAAAGTCTTCAGGCCGTTGAACAATAGAGTCTGCCTTGCTGCTTCTGGAAGATGTGAATTGCTGTGGCCTCCAGCCATCGCGAGTGCCAACAGTGTTGAAGTATCCTGCCGAAAAGCCACCTGTAAACGCTCCGTGAAACCTACGTCTACCTTGAGCGTCGTAGGCATATTGATCCTCAATTGTGACAGGTTTCTTTCGTGGAATATTCTCTATAAAAGTTTTGATAAGAAATGTGTATACAATACTAGACAACACAAACGTCTTGATATACATTTATAAATTTTACCCGTAATTGCATTTACCTTCGTCTAAAGGATCCAGAGGAACACCGAACGTCGCGTAATTATCCTCGTCGGAATCGCTCATTTTTTGAATAAAAATTGCAAATGCAATTTTTACAATATGATATCTTTATGTAGAAACATAGAGAGTTTTCTCAAATTTTGTAAATTATTGTTGACGTATTTGAACATACGCACGGTCGAACAATGCATTTGAGGTTAGAAAAGTATAAACATAACCCTGCATGACACGTTTGGTTTCATTACGCAACACCAGAAAGAAGCCAGAAAACAGTCATCCCATTTGTACTGTCTTACGACTTACGACTCTCTCGACTGATACAGCCGCTGGCTGGTTTCACTACTCCGAAAGCAGTCTAGGCTACTATGTTCCGATTCCTCACCCGGGATATACTTTATCCTTATCAGCCACCAGATACGAAACAAAGATAAATGACACTCGGAGATGCACTCTCGGGTAGGGAAAGTGAGATAAGCGCAATTTGACAGGTTTCCATCGACTTAAATTTGATTCTACGTCGCATTAGGTGTGAATTAATGCTTCGGTGGAAACTAGACCAGTAACTAAAAATATTAAGTCTGTTCTTTTTACCTGAACTGGCTACACTACAGTTCAGAGTTTATCTTTCTTTTTCCAACGTAGAGTAAAAAAAGAAACTCTGAATTAGTGCAGCCGGTTCAGGTAAAAAGAACAGACTTAATATTTTTAGTTACTGGTCTAGTTTCCACCGAAGCATTAATTCACACCTAATGCGACGTAGAATCAACTTTAAGTCGATGGAAACCTGTCAAATTGCGCTGATTTCGCTTCCGCTTCGATCTATAAGGCTGCGGTCCGTTTTATGCTTAAGCGCACATTTATCTATAGTATACGTGACATATACTACAGATAAATGCGCGATTAAGCATGAAACGGACCGCAGCCTAAGTACTCTACCAGAGAGAAGCCTGAGAACGGCCAGGTCCATAAGAGAATGTGTAATCACTTTTCCGCCCCCGTAAACTACTAGCGCATGTCCACGCGTGGTAGACATTGGAACTACGCAGCCACTCCACGAGCAACATGTCGGTACGCTATGTCCACAGCGTGCGGTTCTATTCCGTGCTATGTGCACGAGTTTAAATGGTCACTTTCTTTAAGTGTGTGAGTATATTCGAGAGCGTGAATTTGATTTATTTCAAGAATTAAAATAGCCGATTTGTGAACTCAGGAAGGAGAACAGGAAGGAATGGAAAATATACAAATTTGCAACTTCCCACACAACATACACGTAATTGTCAACAAAGGAA